TACGTATACGCAGTGTTGGGGACTAAGCTAATTTCCTAGATGCTGGCATCCAGCTGAACGTTGTCCGGTCCCCAAGTGTCCGACGGCTTGCAGGCGGCACGTACTCTCTAAAAAGGGGCAACATTTCAGAGAAAATGGGTAAAAGTCGTTGGAAAGGGGCAAACTTACCTGCCAAAAGCTGCCGGGCTGGCGTCGCTTTTTATAGATGGCATAGAGGGCCCAGCCGGGCAGTTGAATCAGGCCCAAGGTGGCCAAAAAACAACCAAAAACTTTGAGCGGTAAAGAGCGAGGATATAAACAAGATATAAACAAAGCCAAGGACGGTTATCTTCGGACTTACCGTGAGCCAAGGTGGGATAGCCCACACCTTTATAGGTCAGAGCGGACATGTCGAGCAGCATGTAGATGAGCACGGCGGTCATCAAACCAGGGGTGATAAATCTCCAGCAGAGGCGCCAATACCAACCGGTCTCAATGCCCATCATGAACTTGATGTCTGCGCAGAAGCGATTAACTCCTTGAAATTTTAAAATAAAATAAAATATAAAAACAAAAGTTGGGAACTTAATCTTAATTACTATAGTGACCATCCACCTACCGTAAATCCAAGCAACAGCTACCAATTCGCCGATGGCCAGGATCAAGGCGGTGAAGGACACGCCATAGAAATCCACTAGGTTCAGGATAAACTGACCGCCCGGGGTCATGTAAACGATGCTCACGCCAAAGCCCAGTACGGCCAGTCCGCTGGCCAGCTTCCAAATGGGCGGCGACCTCGATCCGAGTTGATCCCGGATGACGCGCAGGATGCAGGATCCCATGCCCACGGTGCTGCCGATGCCTAGGACGAAGAGCATGAGGAAGAAGAGGACCGCGAACATCTTTAGGTAGTTGTGCTTTAGGGCGCCCAGGGCGCTGGACGTTTGCGATACCTTACCTGTGGCACATACTCGAACTTGGCAATGGCCTCCGGATACGAGATGAAGGCCAAACCGGCGCCGCCCTTCACCACGCTGCCAATATCCGTGTTGCCTGTCTCGCGGGCCAGATTCCCCAGAATCCCGAAGGTAATGCAGCCAGCAATTATGGAGGAACAGGAGTCCATGGTGGTAATGATCACGATGTCACTAAAATAATTAAATAAATAATTATAATATTTAAATAAATAAAGAATTAAATAAATAATTTAATGAATAATTACATAAATATTTAAATACATATATAAATAAATCATTAAATAAATAATTTAAATAATTTTATTGAAGGTGATATAGATTGCATATGCCGAGTTATTAATATAAATATATTAATAAGGTCTTCCCTTCATTAAATCCCTTCATTAAATCAAAGGACAAATCTTTACTTACTTGTAAACATTCCTATTGAAGTTGTTGTAGCTGGCATAGGTGATCAAAGTGCCGAAACAGATGGCCAGGGAGAAGAAGACCTGTGTTACGGCGGCATACCAGACGAGTGGGTTTAACAGCTCTCGCCACTGCGGCTTGAAGAAGTATATAATGCCATCGATGGCTCCCGGAAGGGTTACTGCTCTAATGAGCAGAATCAGCAGCACCACATAGGGAAATACACCCAGGAAATAGGCCGCCTTGCCACTGCTCTTGATGCCGCGGATGAGGACGCCTCCGATGATCAGCCAAGCAAAGGCCAAGCAGGCAACCAACTGCCAATTGGGCAGACCCAACCCATTGTCTATATTGGGCAACTCATGAAGGATCTCGCGTCTGAAAAAAAGAGAGAAAAAGAATTAAATAATGTCTGAATAACCTAAAAAAAAAAAAATTAATTTTAATTGGAATATATATAAATTTAAGAACACATATTTCTTAAGCATTTTCTAAATTTACTATGCCAATTAATATATCCATTTTTTAAGACGCCGCTTTAAAAAGCCGTTTTTTGTTCTAGTTACTTTAATTAATTGCTGTGCACCACTACTCTAATGAATTAATGACCTGGGTAGCATTTTCCGCTCTTAGCACTTAGCGATACTTACTCAAAGTACAGCTGAGCCGGTGACATTTTTCCGCTGCTATTCTGAGCACTTCCGTCGTGGCAATCAGTGCCCCAGCTCTCCCAGCAGCGACTCCACGGCAACTCGGAGCCGAAGGAGGCCAGCAGGAATCTGAGAGTGAGGGCCATAATGCTGGAGTAGTACGTTATGGAGGCGGCTGTGGCCAGGACCTGCCCCACCGCGACGCCTTTGAGCAGGGGTGCCATATCGAAGGCCTTGACCACGCCGCGACCCGTGAATTGGCCGAGGGAAATCTCCAGATAGTAGACAGGCCGTCCAATTACCAGCAGGGCAATCAGATACGGAATCACAAAGGTACCGCCACCGTTCTGAAAGGCAATGTAGGGAAAACGCCAGATATTTCCTAGACCCACTGATAAGGAAATGCAGGAGAAGAGGAACTCCAGGCCGTTGCCCCACTGTTCCGCCGGCTTTTCCGACTTGGTGGAAATCTCTAGGTTCGCCATACCGAGAGAACTGTGCACTTGGAGGTGGCGCGTTAAACTAACCGCAATCGAGATAACCGTCCGCCTTGAGACTTGGACTCAGATTCTCGCATTCAATGTCAGGCCCACGCCACAAATTCTGTGCGGTTGATTATCTAGTTCGGGGCAGTCTGGGGCTGTAATCTCGTCACAAATAGCTCGGAACGCATCGTGAAATCGGTCTTAATTGGCACTAATAAAAGGTGCTAAGTGGGATGCAGATGCCAGAATCAGAAGCAGAAACAGAGACACTTTGTGTGGAGATCCATTAGAGAGATCGTGTTTATTGACCCTCCTGGCTGATAAATAAATTTGTAAAGGGGTGAGGAGCAGACGATGATGCCTGGTGGCCAATGTAAGCTTCAATGAAAACAGGCTACGTAAATTGAGACAAACTGTGAAATTTAAACGACCTGCGACAAATTGTGAAATACGGAACCAAGTTGTGTTAATCTGGAAAGATAGCAGCTAGCTTTGATTATATTTAATTAAATTGATTAAGTAACAGCACGAATTTATGCTCATTCCAAAGATCGGGTTTTCAATTATAAACTTTTTCGTACCGCCTTCAAAAGTTATTTCGAAAAGCCATCAAAAAGAATCTATGAAATTTTCTGAAAAAAACATCTTTCAGTGAGTTGGCAACTATTTGAAGTACTATATTTTACCACTAGTATCTTTCCTGCTCTCATCTGCCTGACAGCTTTGGAAAGTTTTTAATAATTTTCAAGAGTTTTCTAATTAACATCCCTGGCAGGCTGCAACTGAAGTTGGCCAAGTAAGCAAGCGGGCCAAGAAAATAAAGGGGAATAAAAAGGATGTCTGCGGGGGAAGGGAACGGAGCGCAGATAGTTGGTTAAATGCCACTGAGCCGCTTGAGTGTGCCATTACGGTGACAATTTTAAATGGGTTTTTAACAACTTTTGCAGATTTATGGCAATTAAAAGCCTTTGATAATGCTGATTGCCTCCGGCTGCTCGACTGCGTTCGCATTGCAATCCCGTGTAATTGACTCTAATGCACATGAATACCCTTTTAACATTGCTGATTCTTTTTCGAGAGCATTCAGTAGGTAAGATTGATACTTTGAATGTCGCTTACTTTGTTGAAATGAGAAGATTTTTCCTATGAATATTTTATTTTTAATTTTTAAATTAATTGAAGAGCGAAAAGTAAAATTTTTTAAATGGATAGATTTTACATCGTTTATTGGTAGAAGCATAGAAAAGAAAATATTTTATAGCTTGATTATTATTTTTAATATTTTTTTAGCATTTAATTGAGAAAGAATAAATTCTTGACTTTTTTCAACGCTTTTACAGCCAAAAACAAGTTGTTAAGCTGAGTAAGTTTTTGATATGATACAATTGAGCTTGGGTAAAAGTTGTATTTTACTAAAATTAGTTTGCCATGTTTATTGAAATGGCGAATTTAATTTCTGCATTTTATTGTGTTCCTATTTAGTTGATTGTTATAAAACTAGTAGCACTTGTGTTTATAGTTTTCATGCCACAAATTATCGCACATAAATAGCCATTAGCTGGGCGAAAAGTGAAGGGGAGTATAATTTCTGGTTTGCTCTCCTGGTGTTGGGTTAATTAAAGTGCAGTGCATTAGCTTGTTGTGTGTGGAAAGTGCAGCGGGAAATGTTGGAAAAGCGGGCTGAGAGGGTGTGCTAACTAACTTTAATTGCAGCTGTAAAATGTTGTTACTTGCGCACGCAGATTTCGAACGAGCAGCAACAATGGCAGCGAAATGAGGCAAATAAAATTGGGGGAAAAACTTTTCCGATGCCACAGGCAGCAACGCATGTGTGTATGTGGTATGGGGATGTGAGCATGTGTGTGTAAGGATCGATAGAAAGAGGGAAACTCGAAGCTCGTTTGCAGGCCCATTAACAAGCAAAAAATGAGCGCTGCAATTAGTTTTCCCTTTCTTGTTCTGGTCCTTACTCAGCCCATTCGGTTTCCGTTGCCATTCTCTTGTTTCGGGCTTTCACCTAACAAGTTTACTTTTAAAATTGATTTCAACGGACTTTGTAACAACTTCCGTTTCCGCTTCACCAGCCTACGTATTGGTAATTCACCCACACACACAAGTGTGTGTTGTGTGTGCCCTGTTTAAGTTTCGCAATTTTCCATCCAATCAACTTTTTCCACAGCCTGTCAAATGCCACGTTTTTTTCTACTTCCCGTCTCTCGTTTCCCTCCACTATTTTTAACTACATTTTCATTGAGCTCACATTTAATTTGAAATTAATTTTTAATCAACTTCAATTGAATTAAAAAGCGCTGACTGCGACAGCTCGCCAAAATGAAACTTGTACCTTGAAAAGCATTCCCTCATCCCCTCTTTGTGATCCACAAAAAATGTATGCCCTGCGGTGGTCGAGCTGTAAATAAATTAGCCTCATTTATTATTAAATCGAAAATGCGTTAATATTAATTATAAATTACATTTCATTCATTCCATTTTCGTTGCAGGTGCGTCGCCCAAGCGGAAATTAACTTTCGGTGAGTAGAGAAACTACAGAAATAAGTTCCCCCGGCAATGTGTTATGCTAGCTTATGAATGGAGTACGTGTTACTGGCCAAATGGGTGGCTTTTCCCTTCATAATGTGCGCAGACCTTTTACAGAGAAGAAAATATGAAGAAAAAAAGAAAGTTTAATAAAGGTTATGAGGGATATTTAAATGAGGGATATTTAAAACATAAAACTTTGTAATCATAACACTTATTAAATGTTTAATTTGCTTATTAATAAACCTAAAATTTAGAAAATACAATTCATTAAAGTTAGTTTTGTTATCCGTTAGCATTTAAATAAGGATTATTACATAGTAAATGGCTTATCACTATGGACGGCAGTCCATGTAGTGACGAAGCGCACCAGGAGAGTGTGCGAAGGCGACTACTATTATATAGCCGCAAAATTGAAAATCTGCTGTGATAGTCCGATCGTAATGAGTAATACACCAATCGAAAGGTATTGCAAAAACTTAAAGGATTGCATACCAAGACTTTAAGAAAATCAATTGGCTTGGGAGAGAGAGCGGTGAAAGTGAAAAAGTGCAAATTTCGAAATTTGGAGCTGTTGGGGCCGGTGGGGATAAATGCCCCCTCGCAATGTTTTAGTTGTATTCCTTTTGAAAATACCTGTCGAATGAGGGGTCATTTGTCAAAATCCGACGCTCCGTTCAAAAGTTATAGCCAAAATAAGATTTCCTTCTTCTTCCCAAAATGAAAATTAAATTCTGTTTGTCAGTTTGTCAGTTTGTCCAAAACATGTTTCTTAAGTTTTGAAAATTTGATATGACGTTCATCACATCGATATAAAAAACTTTTGTTCTACCACTTTTCGAAAAACTCGCTAGTTTAGCGGGAAAACAGCTATAAATAGCTAAAATTCGGAAAACCGTAACTTCTATACTACTAAAGCTACAGACTTGTGCTGCATCTTGTTTGAAAGGTATTTTTAAATGCTATAAAACGCCTTCTATATGCAATTTGTGTAAATGTAATAATTAAATAGATATGAACAAAAGACAATTTTTTAAAACTTTTTTTTAGCTTTTTTTTATTTTTCTCAGAAACGGCTCTAACGATTTTCTTGAAAACTTTAAACTGTATAGCCCTTGAGATTCCTTAAATTTTGGTATATAACACATTACTGTAAAAAGTCACGTTTAAAAGTTATTTTTATACGAAAATAGCCACTTTTGCCAGCTCGAACAACTAAAGCTTTCTGAGTATTGAATTTTGTGTGAGGGTATCCGAACTGTATTTTAGGGTCATGGAATCAGTAAATTTGCACTTAAGAGTTCCATATAGGAATCTTTTGTTCTACGACTTTTGGAAAAAGCCGCTCCTTTAGCGGAAAAAAAGCTAAAAATGGCTAAATTTCGTTATTTATTTATTTATTTATTTATTTAAAGTTAGCAAATATCTGCCAACATAAACATAGTACCCTACTCACATCAAGTGGAAGGGGGCAGGGACAGGTAGGTTAGGATGTTTGTTACAATTAAATTAACAGTTAACAGTTAACAGTTAGTTTGTAAGTTCTACACTACTAAAGGTACAGACAAGTGCCATACCTCGTTTAAAAGGTATTTTGAAATACTTAAACGCCTTTTTAATTTAATTTGTTTAAATACAATGGCATACAAATTATGATTGACCAATTTAAATTTAAATTTAATATATACATTTACATTTAGCTCCTAGAGCAATAAACAAACAAAAATACAAAAACGAGGAACAAAATTATCACACCGCATTAAAAGACTTTCAAATTTTTCATTCGGCACGCTGCAATAGAAAATGCCTGTGAAGGGAAAAAGGCTGGAATAGTCTGCTAGGGCGGGCCGAATGAGAAAATATTAGAAAGTCAATTTAATGACGAGTGTAATAATTTTTCGTCACAAATGTTGATATCAGAACTTTTGTATGTTGAAGGTGCGATCGTCACTAGTTTTTTACCTCGTTAAGAGGTGTTTTTATTTGATATTCATATCAGTGGCGGATCCAGAAGTTGGTTGTGGGGGGATTTTGGAACAATTATTTTTGTTGCATATCTTTTGGATACCGTATTTCCTTTTATTTGTCATCCCAGTGACGGGGATCCACTCGTGAATCCGTGCATAATTTATATAATAAATTATTTACATTAAGTCTATACCCTTCGATGGCTCTAAAATTTCTCATTTTCAATCCCATCTTTTCGCGCAGTGCCTAACTTGAGTTTAAAGGGTTTAGGAGCAGCAATCACTTCAGCTGCCGCTGCGGCTCCCGTTGTTATTTGTTTCGCTTAGCGCGTGCCTCAATTATGACCAAGGTAACATCCACTCGAATGCATCGCGCAGTGCCAACGAAGGAGCAACAGTAACATCAATGGCAACTTAGTTACCCCGGCCAAATGTCAAGGGAGGTGGTGGCGGAAACTGGGTGGCAACCAGGTGGAAACTCCGGCCAAGTGTTTAACCCAGTTCGCAGTTTGGCGCACAGCTCCTGATCCAGCTTTAGTGGCCGCCTTTGTTGCCATTGTTGTCGATTGCCGCTGCTTTCGGTTTGTTTCCTTGTTGTTTGCCGCTTGTTTGCTGCTCTTGCACTTGCGGCACGTAATTGTTGCAGTGCTTGTTATTTTGCCGTGGCTCCGCAGCTGGCTGCTGAAAAAGTTATTAAAATGGGAAAGGCAAAAGCGAATCGATTATGCCGGATGCAGCAGCAGCCAGCAGCACGGAGAACTCTCACAATTGCTCCAACTTTGCCATACAAAACTTTTATTTCGGCACCAAAGGAAAATCAAAAGAAAAAACCCACAAATAGAGAAAAAAACCAGAGAGATGAAAAGGGAAGTAGAGGAGAAACTTTAAATTGACATCGAATGGCAAAACCGAAAGCTGCTGTGGCAATACCTAACAAAAGTGAAAAGTTGCCGAAAGTTTTCTTTGGCGAAAAATGATAAGCCAGCCATTGCGTCTTCCCCTCGTTACCCTCCACAAGTCACGCACGCTTTTCGATTAAGCGCAGGCAGCCAAAGACAAAAGTCCAGGAAAAACGGACTACGGGGCGTATGAGTAACAAGCTATTTCTGTTTTTTGGTATGCTATGCATGGCCAGCAATGTCTAAGCCATGCTTTGTGGGTAATGCGAGTTTAACAACTGAACTGTTGACTGACATTTAAATTTGCCAACACAATTTGCATTTCTTTCTCTCAACTCACCGCCGCCCCTCTTTGGCCTGTCACTCGTTTTCTTGGGGCTTTGTGTGTGTGTTGAATTTATGCAAATAATAAGCATTTCCTTTCTGGTGTCTCCATTACTTGCTTGCCACGTCTAATTTCGACTAACTTTTCGGGTGCCCCATGTTCGTGTTTGAGTTGGCAAACAAATTTCAATTGCAAGTTGGGGGAATTTCTTTTCCTTTCGCTTGACTTTGATGTAATTTAATGTGGCATTTGGCTTGCACTTTGGCTTTGCTATTTGGCCACATGTTCCCGTAGCCTGCAGTCGTTGCAATTAAATATGAAAAGTAATTTTCATTGTTAGCCAAGCTAAAAAACTGGCACAGCTCAGGACTCACGACTAAAAATCCATTCGTTTTGGACTTATCTGCAGCTCGCTGTTGACAGCCAAAAAGAAAATGCCATGGAGAAAGCACGAGAAAAAGCTATTTGCATGCCAAGAAATAATTTTATAGCTCTCTGAATCTGAATCTGGTCTTTTTAGAGTTGAAATTGGTGCATTCAAGGAAAATGTCTTTGGCAGCTGGCGGAACGTACTTAAATTCAACTTGACGTCCTCTGGATTTGGAATATTCCGCCCTCAACAAGTGTTCGCTTGGCCAAAGAATTTCTGCAACGTAATTGGGAGTGAAAATCTTTTGGCTTGGCCACCCGGCGTATGCGCAATCTCATTGTCAATCGGTAGGGGACGTGGGACACTGATAAAAGTTTGTGGCTCTGCGCTGTCTTTGCCTTAATAATAATTATTTGCCAGCCTGGCATTTTGCCAACTGTACTATAAGCCAAGGGGGCCAATGCCTCTCGAGACTCTGACAGCCGACAACTGACACTTGAGGCGCCCGTTAAAGTCGTTTACCATATTTACGCTTTAAACGTTATTTATTTGCCAAAAGGAGCAAATTCGCTGCCGCTGTCAGCTGTGCCACTCAACTTTGATATTGTCAAACTGTACATAAGTAGCACGCCCAAAGTGTTAGGACGCCAAGACAATCTCCTCGTCGTAAGCCAAATGGGTTATGGATGTGTGGAGCGTGAAGCGTTTTTCGGGCAGATTTCGGCGGCTTAAGTTAAGGCCGCAGTGGCGCACTAAGTGGCTTTTTATCAAATGTCCTTACTGTCCTTGCACGTACATTTGTTTGGCTTTTGTGCCATCGGACACGCTGGGGGCGTGGTCTTTGGCGCTGGCGGTGGTGGTGGCACTCAGGCATCGGAGAGCCTAAAATAACAATGATTAAATGTAATTTCAGGAAGTCCAACGCCCCCACTTGGCCCCATCCCTCGGGTGTCCAGCTCTCAAGTCTAATTACAATTGGGTTTGTTTTTTCCTCAATTTCAGGCGGGTGGAGCGGGGGGAAACATGAGAGGCGGAACAGATGCGTAGGAGTTGGCCAATTTCTGGGCTCCCGGGTGCCATCCTTAAGCGTAAAAAGTGCCGCTAGAACTTCGCCAACATGTTCGGTAACAACACCGAAAATGAAGTTGTTTCGGGAGTTTGTCCGCTCGGCGCGTCGCTCGCCATGTTTGCCCTCTGTCTCAACTTGTCACGAACAAAAACGCGGACAGGACCGCTTTCTGAAAAAAGGCACACGGAGAAAAATAAGTTGACAGTTTGAAGTTGCATTATTAAATGAGGAGTGCAAAATTAATAGTTGCAGATCCTTTAATAATGATTTATTTCGTATTTTCGTTAGAATTGTCTTCTCAGTTTTAATTAATTTTTGTATTATATAGTTGAAAGATAACACCTCGTATAGGATTGCTTCTTAAACCCTGTAAATAAAATACAAATTGTAAGTGCCTCGAGTCAAGTCCATCCACCCCCCTTAGAGGAAATCCTGCGCAACTTATGGCTCAACAAAATCCTGGCTACGCTACTGTTTATAAACATTACTAGATTTTTGACTGACTTGCTGGCTTAAAAGCATCATTTGAATTAAATCATGATATATATGCTTAGGCTGCCATGCATTTTTTAATAAGTCCAGTAAATGTCATAATACCTTTATCAAAAAATATTCTATTAAATTGTGATTACATTTTTTATCCCTGTGCATATGTGAGTTCGTTTGTGCGCGTAGTTCGGATGGCCTCTGATGTTGCTGCCGTGCATTGTCAACAGCAGCAGCAACACCACTTGATTCAATGCACAAACAGAGGTCGTACACCCCCTGCTCCCTGCCAGCCCCTCCCCACTCCCCACTCTCCTCTCCCTTTCCATCAAGCGTAATTACACGCCATGTCTGTTCCATTCAGGATCCGCCTCCCATCGCGTTCCGCCCACTCCTGTTTGATGTGCGTGTTTTATTTCGAGTGCCATTTGTTTTAATTAAAATTATTTAAAGCGTTTTCAGCTTGAAGAGCTTCGACATGGCGACAAAACCCCGGAATTTAAGTTTTTTGCACACTCCACAATTTTGGTTTAAACGAGGAATATCGTATGTCAGGCCACATGCTAAAGTACAGGGTTTTCAGAAACGTTTGCTTTGAGTGTAATACGAGATAGGGTTATACAATTTATCCAATTAGTTCGTGACCCAAGGGAACATGCTGTAATTGCCAAACCACAGTATAAATGTTCTGTGCTGTTACAAAACTGAACTTTAAAGTTTTAAATTAAAGGTTTACGTTATTGTCCAAGTAACGAACGCTTATAAAATGCCAAAGCTTTGGATTGAAATGTAATACTTTTAATTGGTATCTAACAGGGAGTTTAATACAATTTTAATATCCAAATTGTGTGAGGGTGAAATGTTGTTGCTAAAAATTGCACAATAATTTCTTAAATACCCATTTTTGATGAAATTGGATTAGGTTTAAAATTAATTATGATTTTATGAAGAAATTTGAAACTAATCAAGACTCACTGGAAATAGAATGTTAGACTTTAAATTTAATTATTAAATTACATGATAAAGTCAAATAATTTGTTTCATATTTACCAGGTACTAAATGGTCCTATATATGCGTATGCAAAACATATTGTGTGCCCTTTATCCGATTTCATGCTCAAATAGAAGACAGCATAATATTTATTGCCTTTGTTTGTTTGCGACTCTTTTTGCATGCTGCCCTGCAGCTGAACTTTATTGTCCACCTAAATTTCGTTTTGCTGATTTGTTTGCCAACGAATCGCTTTTTGTTTGTATTTTTTGCGGTAAGCACATGCAAACCTTCACCCCCGCCCACAATCTATGCCCCAACACCGAGGCAATATCAAACGCAGCTATAAGAGACACTTAACAACGGTTCCTCGGCCATTTTGTTTGTGTTACTGCCATTTTTTGTTGTCGCTGTGCGTTTGTTTGTGTGCATAAATGAGAAAAACCAACGTGGCAACCATAAAACACAAACACATAAACACAAACTCACAAACACATAGAGACATTCTCATGTTTGCACAATAAAATTTCAACAATATACGCGCCAGTGTCTTTGTACTTGAGTAAATTGGATCTGTGCAGCGGGCCGAGGTGGGGGGATGTTAAAATTAAATAAATATTTGCCTTTAAGCCCGCTGCTGCGGCTTACAAACCGAAACAAGACACCCACACAGCGGTATTTAAAGCAGCCAACCACAACAACAGAAACAGAAAACCGGGCCGAAACAAAAGTCTCGAGTCTCAGAAATCTTTGCGAAAGTATTTCCACTTGGTAAAATAAGAGACGACGGGGCCAAGTGGGGTATTTCCCGGCCAGCACCAAAGGGTTCATTCAAGAGCTATACAAGTCGCAATCTGGGGCTTTAACGGCGACAGCTGTCCATTTACAATGGGTGCACAAATCCCCTCCCCTCTCGGAATATTACTCATTATTTAATTACCAAGTTTATTTTATACCAATAAAATATATTTTTGTGGTCATAATTAAAGCAGATATTGGGAGCGTGCTGGAACGCTTTCGAAATTAATGAGCAGGATTATATGGCTCTTATAAGTGGAATAAATATTTAATGACTGCAATATTTCCACTTCACATAACAATTAATAATTTAATTATGATAACTTTTTTTATTAGCCTCTAATTGTATAAGCTTTATATCTATTAATAATATTTCGACTTATTTTTGCTTATTATGACAGATGTGTTTGTTTCAATATTTTTGGGTATAAGTACTTCAAAAAAGCGACTAAAATAAAAATATAAAATTTTATTTTATTAGAATGTGTGCCGGTGGCCATAGATTCATTCACAATTATTCACATAATATTTAGTTAAATTAGAATACGATTTTATAAAAAATTAGACACTTTGTTTGTAACAAAGAATAATTAATTAAAAGTGTAGATTTTATAATTTCATATCTTATCAATGTAGGGAATTCCGGAAAAGTTTTGAATTTAATGGGTATTGTTTATTGTCCGTTAAAAAAAGAGCAATTGAATAGGTTGCCAACAAAAGAGGTGTGGAAAGAATGGATATATTTTTAGGGCGTACAGTCCACCTATAAAAGCTCCGAACTAAGCAAGTGTTGCCTCATTTTCAAAAATGAAAATTTACGTGATACTACTGGTAATATCGCTGTCCGCCCTTTCCGAGGCCGCTGGGCGTGGCCCCAGTCACAGTGTTACTTGGGGAGTCAGAAGCTACAGGGACACGCACTTACGGCGGGAGATCATCACTGAAAAGTCCAGGTTTTTGCGCGTGGTCACAAGGGATTATGTTTTTAACCAAAAGGTTGGATATCTCACTTAAAAGTTATTTCCCCTTATAAGTTTTAATTATTTTCCTAAAAGAAATGGGCACGCACCATCACCCAAATAGTGATTACGGATCAAGTTAGGGATGGAAATGGAGGCTATGCTTACCTCACTGCCGGTGGACCACAGAGCACTTATGCCAAAATCCATTTAAAGAGTCAACGCAACCAAGGCTTCAGTTTTATCATCGACATTTACGGCACTTAAACCGAAACTGGCCTGCTTTTAATTTATATTCCACTCCGTATTTCTCTCCCTACAGATAGTTTGTTTGTTTAATGGCCAGCACATATTTACATACTCAATATACATACAGATATCCGCAAGCATATTTATATTTGCGTATTTATATGGGCATACAATTGACACAGGCCAAATGAACTGCAGCTAATTTGCAGTTGGCGAGGGATAGCTATAGTATAACTGATTGATCTGCGGTTGGAACAATTTTATTTTGATTACTAAAATGGGAGCGGGGTTTTTGAACTTAATGCTGGTAATCATCGCATAAAGGAGTAAATGAAAATAAACCAATGCGGAAGAGGAAATCAATGCAATAATGTCATAGTGGATTTTAATAGCTTTACAATTGGAGATTAAATACAAAGAAGGGTGATTATTCACTTAAAATATTTTTAAGCCTGCATTAATATCATGTCATAAATATCCAGAAATTAAGCTACCATTTTTATGAAGTGATATCTCATTCCAAGGAATACCCAAAGCCATCAACAGTTTTTCGTTGTTAACCGAAATGGCAGAGTCGCAACTTTGAAGGTTATACGCCAAGTAAGCGATGAGTTGTCGGGGGGCAATTCCCACCACTCGTAATTACCCAGCCATTTCGACTAACGAGGCAAGTGCAATTTTCGGTTGGGCAAATGGGGAAAATATAACCCGCAAAAGCCTGTGAAACCCTTGGTAGGCATTCAGGCAGGCCCTTTGCCATTTAGCAAATGTCAGGCACTTAGCCTCGCAACAACACCCCCTTAAACCTAAAACCTAAAACCACCGGAAAGCCCTAAAAACCACCTCCCAACCACCCATCATCGATGCGATGCGATGCCATCACCCAGTGTGAAAGTCAAACAAATCCAATCAATGTTACGCAGACACATATACTCACTCGCATGTATGTATCTATGTATGCCTGCATATATGCAAATTAGCTGGGGTTATAAAATGTAATGTATTGGCTGTATCCCTCGGCTACGGGAAATCATCCATCGATGCGTGTGTACGGGGGATATACTCGTATATGTGAGGATACCATCAATCGCAACGAATTAAAATTTTATTATGCCATATTCCCCAAACGAGCAGAGAAGGTCGACGCTTGGTATCTTTTATGGTTTTCGAATGTAAATGCTCTTTTGTCTCCCAAGTCGCAAGTCGCAAGTTGCCCGGAAAATGTGGGTTAACAGGTCCTCTACACTTGGCCTGAAGGTGCAACGAGTTGCAGTTGTGGCATTTCTGATTGACGTGCATTTTGCATACAAGCTTAGATCGTTTTAAAGGGGAAAGGGGGAGGGATCTTACGCAGCACCCTTCGGTGACCTCAAACGCCAGTCAATGCCAGAACACCGCCCAACAATCCAAACCACCCACAAGTGAGCCAGGTGAGCTGCCTCTCCTTTCCAGAGCAAGCCAAACCGAGAGCCATACATTATGCAGGTTGTTTGTTATCGTTCGATAAAGTGTAAATTATGGGAAAGTTGCCAGGCAGCCAGGTCAGGTCCCTTCGGAACGCAACCATATATGGTATATATCCATGTCCATGCCCATGACCACCTGCCTTTTGCCATATAATTTCAGTTATCTTTAATGTGTGTCTTTTGTGCGTAGTGTGCTCAGTGGTCTTGAAGTTTGCATTGTTAATCGAACGAATGCCATTTGCATAGCAACATTTGAGTAATTTATGCCGAGCCCGGGAATGCTTTTTAATTGCCCGCCCAGATGTTCGATATTCAGGGGCTGTCACATGCCAAAGCCAGGGGAAATTGAGTGGAAACATCTCAAGGACCTGTGACTGTCAATCGCAACTGGAGGGTCTTATGCAGATTTCCGTTTGACTTTGCTCTGCCTTCGCACACACAAAGCAAAGTGTTGACCTCAGTTTCGCTGCTGTCATAGCCATTTCCTTAACTTTCCTTTCCTTTCCCTGGCTGTCCCTGCATTTCTCTGCCTTCTTCTAGCTGGCAACAAAAGACGCTTCGTCGCCTCGTCGTGTCTCGTTCATTTCACAGCCAATTTTGTGCATTTTTTTCGTCCTTTTCTCGGCTGCATCCTTGGCTTTTTTCACCACTCATGTCCCTGCTGCCGTTTTGGCCTTTTGTCCTGCGTGGAAGGAAAGTGTGAAAGCAGCAGGCTAACGGATTTCTGGTCTCGTTTCACCAGGGACTTTTGTTTTTCAATTGCCATTTGCCATATTTGCGGCAATTGTTTTCGTTTTCTCCAGCAGTAAATACAATTGCAGCGAGTGAATGTTGTATGGAGCTGTGCACTGTGCAATGTGCACTGAAAGAAAAGCTTTCCCAACTTAATAAACATATGGTTAGAGTATTGTTGGTTGGAATATTGCTTTTTCCTTCGGATTTAGTACCATATAAAACAGCTACATATATTCAGAATCAAAAATCGAAAGTGTATTAATGGGTTATTTGAAATTTAAACACCAATATGTATTTAAATTCTGCAATATAGTATTTTTAAAGGCATGAAAATATTATTTATTTTTTATTAAAAATAATTCCCGTTGTTAAGTTTAATTGTATTTTTTTATAAACGAGGTCTTTCAATATATAAAATGCTCCCCACTTCAGTGAAACTGTTTATATCGGTATCAAAATTGTACTTATCTGATTGTTTCGGATCACGCTACTTTACGACTTTTAGAATACATATTCTGCTTTAGAACAATGTAAGTCTCTCTGTACTTACAGTGAATTTCCGGCTTAAGTTTGACTGGAGCAACAGACTTCAGCTACGGTTATAGCGCCTCCGGTTTGTCCTATCAGCTGGCAAGGAGCAGCATAAATGGCAAAGGATAGAAGCTTGTTATGTGCAGTCGCTCGTTGGGAAACACACACTCATCCGCACGCACCTGTTAGTTTCCTTTGGTTGCCTCCATTTCTTATGCTTATCAAGCGAAGCTTTTCCAACGTGCCAACAAACGAGCAAAAACAGCAGGAAAAGAAAAGCATAGAGGATGATGGGGTGGCGGGGCATCACTTGATTGCCCCGAGTTGTTTTTCCGGCATGCAGTTTCAACACTGTCGATGCTTGAATGGCACGTCTTTACTAACCCGTCACTGGGATAACAGTTTTCATCCTTGTCTCAGCATAATTTGATCACTTTTCCTTAGATCAAAGAAACACATCTTGCTATAATGATTTAATAATGATATAATTTATATAAAGGAAAAATTTTAAAATAAAATAAATGCTGTGTCTTTGACAGTTGTTTTCTACTCAATGCCACATGCGTAACTCACTGTAAGCTTACAAAAACGATTTGATTCAGTGCCAATCCATATGGATTAAGCTTAAAGCTACTACCTAAAGCACTCGTAATCGAACGTAATGGCTGGAAATTTCTCTTCATTATACATTATTCTCTTTGACTTTATTTAGATTTACTTTCATTAAAATAAAAGATCTCAGGAAGCTTTTGAAAATGTTCCACTAGCTGTTAAGCAATAAAGCTGTTAAGCAATAAAGAAACCCTGAACAATAAATCAAGAATTTGATTAGCTACAGAATATCTAATGTGTTGTTTTTGGGTTGTGTCTAATAGGTTTCATTGTAGAATATTATGACACTTTAGAGCAGTTGTTTTAAATACAACCATTCAGTAATTTTCCTTTCATTTAAGTGCAGTGTGTTAGTGGAATGTGTATCCGAGGTCTAGTCTAATCCTCGGATATTACGTGATTTCGTATTTCGGACCCAATCAAGGACAAATTTTGTATTGGGTTAGGTTAGGTAACGTAGTGGTGCATGATGTTGTATATTCACCCACCTATAGGAGCCAATGTCAAGCTCCGAATGAGCTAGGGGGTTACAATGCCTCCTTATGCTTAATAGAGAGTCATAGTTGGAGGTTTTGGGGGACAGAATTGAGGATCACAGAGAAAGTATCAATCGAAATAAGTGCCGCTCGACTGTCTGAGTAGATGCAGACTAGTTTAGAGTAGCCTGAAGGTCTTAGGTTATGTATTGCCTTCTTAGTGGCCAGAATTTCCATCTGTTTTATTTAGATATTGCATTTTACTTAAAATAAAAATAAGTATAGTACAAGTATTTCGAGCAAACAAGTTGGCGAACTGAGCTTACTTATATTATTGCTTAAATATGCATGCAATTATCATCCAAGAACCATATTCATTCTTTAATTTTTGTATACCATTTTGTGTATACCGTTTAAAACAGAGTCACTTACCAATTGTGCTTATAAATCATAAACAATTTTCTGTGCAGCGTCACCAAAATTGTAGGTTGTCGGTTGGTTCTAGAGTAACTCTGTCAATTATTTTTCCTTAAATTATTCTTCTGCTTTCAATTGCAAGTTCAATTTTCGGAAAAAACAATACTAATTTGTCTAGAGTTCTTCTTATATACTTTTAAATTTTTAATAATTTTTTAGAATCCCATAATAAAAATCGAAAATTCAGGGCAATACCGTTTTATTAAAAAAGTGATAGAGCGAGGTGCGAGTACATTTATCGACTAATTAAATGCGCATACACGAGTATTCAGGGTACAAAGGACAGGGTAAATTCTAGATTAGGCCTACGATTGCTTGGCCTTTGGTGGTCGCAGATAGTTCTGAATATAGAACTTTCCAAACAGATAAATGAAGACTACTCCTTGCAGCATGTTCAGATAGAGGATACCGTGGGGGACCCCGCAATTTGGTGAGAAGAATCGCACGTAGACGGCGTAGCTGAGGAGCATAAAGAACTGGCAGAGCTGCGTCAGTGTGATGTATTTTTTCCACCAAACATTGGACCTCACAACTGGGTATTCTGAGGACAAGAAGTAGTAGAAATACATGACCGTGTGCACCAGGGAGTTCAGTAATCCAACGGCGTTAAAATGACCCCCAGTGCCGTAATATCGTGTTAGAGCGTAACTTCCAAAGGACATGAATACGTGGTGATATATGTGCAGAAAGGTGACCTGCTTATAGCTCTTTCGTAGCACAAAAAACACGGTATCCATAAGATCGAGCACCTTGTTCAAGAGGTACGCGGCATGCAACACTCGTTCTATCTGTTTGCGTTCGTGGCCCGGGGGAAAGCTCTCAATGCAGCGCAGATTGCAAATGCCCACGATGAATAGGTAGTAAAAGACCTTGAGGAGAGACATACATCTATATTAATTCACTAACCAAACTGTTAACTCCTATAACTCACCATTCCAAAGTAGATGCCATTGTAAAGCACTTGAAATATGTTGTAGACCTTCAAGACTGTTTTCAAGTCATAGGGCTTCCTATTTTTCATGAAGATCTTGCCCAATTTGAGGACAAACAGCAGATAGGCCACCAAAATCACAATAATAGGCCATGGCGAACCAGCCAATGGAATGGGATTCGGATCTGGGGAGTTTTCGGTTGAGAATTTAACACCAAATAAATTAATCACGCCAAATCGCCGAACCCACCTGCCTGAGGAATGTACAAAAATCGGAGCATTGTTGATGGGTAATTGCTGTTTGAGGGACCACTGATGACTGTTTCAATTGTCACTAGGCATTCCAGGTTGTTTTATCGAAATTACCCAAACCAAATTAAATCAAATAATGTATTATTCAAATACTTGAACTGCGATGTCTGTCCTACATTTCGATGTGAGAGACCCATAATAAAACGCTCGATCGAATTTCACTCAACTGAGAACGACTAAATTTAGGAGAGAGAACTAAAATATATTTTTAACTCATTGCTTTTTGCTCTTGGCTCTGACATATGTTTGATAGTAGAAGTTGCCGAACATGACCATCATAGAGGTAGAAACGGCAATCTGCAGGTACTGGAGGGTCCTGGGAAAGGAGCAGCCAGGATTCAGCCACATGGTCAGGATAGCCTGGGCGAAGAGGATCATAAATTGAAGGACCTGCAACTTGGTGATGTACTGTTTCCACCACATTTTGTCCTTCATTTGTGGATACCAAGCCGATACGAAGTAGTAGGCATACATGACCACGTGCACGAATGTGTTCAGGTAACCCATCGTGTTGTACTGTCCTCCGGGTCCATAGAAATAGTTGACCATAGGCACCCCCAAAACCATCAGTGCATGATGGTAGACATGGAGTACGGTGATCTGTTTGGTGCTCCTCCGCAGCACAAAAAATACGGTGTCCATCAGGTCAAACACTTTGTTGAGAAAATAGAAGTAGGTAAACCAACGATCGGCAGTTTTACACGGATGATCCAAAGGCAGCGTTTTCATGCACCGAAAGTCATAAGGCTTTTGCACAAAAAGGTATTCAGTGCCCTGCAGAAATATGAACTTTTAAACATAACAAAAGTGGATACAGAAATATATCTTACCATTACGAAAAGGACGGCGTTCATTATAACCTGGCAGAAATTGTAGATCAGCATGGCATTCCGCACATTGTAGGGTTTACGGGACTTCATAAAATCAGGCCCCACTTTAAAAATCAGCAATAGGTAACCGAAAGTAATCACAATCGCTGGCAAAGGAGAGCTAAACAGAGGCAGACGAACGGGATCTGTAGATTATAGAATACAATGAAATAAGTGGGCATTTCAGGTGCAAGGATAAAGCTTACCAGCTGGAAGTCCTCGGAAGTAATCCAATAGTGTTAAGTTCATGGTGAATCCGTGTCTGCCTCAATTTCAACTGAGGCACTCGTATGCTTTGCACCTCCTTATATACGCATGCACTTGCAACGATGTATTAGAAATGGAAAAAATTGTCTGCCCCTAAAACAGGGCCTTCACTTGGCCTATGGTCACTCGGCAAAGAGAACTGATTAGTTATGCTCTTGCATTCACTATGCTATTTCTTCCACTCGGCTCCTTGGCCACAGATTTGAATTTCTAATTCGGAAATCGCAATTCTCCCGCCGGAATTGCGGGGGTCCAGTCGGGGTCAGATTGGAAAGGTGCAAACTTATTTCCTCAAACTTTTCGAAGTGAAAAATAAAAGTGTTTAAAATCAAGTTACAAGTGTTTACGGTAAAAATATAGATTTATGAAAAGGCTAGACAGTCTTATTTTTGTATAGGAGTGCCACTTTATTTACTTGCTAGCAATGGTTCTAAAAATACCGATTTAAATTCGCCAGAAATATTTTTAAAAAACTTATTGATTTAGTTTGTAGTTTTACAAACCAAAGAGATGTTAAAGGCAACCCCATTCCTTTAAACATTTAAGGAAATTATGTACTTAAAAAGTATGCAACTAGCAAATATGTACTAATATAACCCCACAACGATATCTTGGATCCGTCACTATTAAATTAATCCATTTTTTTTGGTTTTAAACAACACATGGATGATCAGATGGTTGGCCACAACCAAATCTTCCGGATCCGACCACGGATTAAATTCCAATCCATAAATGTAATATTATGAAATTATCGACAATGTTCGACCAGCCCGCTTTGGCCTTGACTTCTCTGACCAATATCTTTGCTTTGTTTATCTTTTCAGAGGCTTAAAGCGTTTTCGGCAAACAATAGACAATGGCGCTGGGCAACATCAGCAGCAGCCAAATCGGGCGAGGCCATTACAGCTTTAATCCCAGGGTTCCCATAGAAGGAGCAACAGCAACAAATCTAATTACAGAACAACAATAAGGTCAGGCCCTGGTGCCGCTGATGATGATGATGTTAGGAAACTTCCGGTTTGTTTGCCCGGGCGGAAATGAGGCGCAATATGTCGTCCAGTCACTGGCTACCTTTCCAGCGCTGTGAATAGTGACCTCGAGCGAATAGAGCTGAAGGAATCCCAGCCCCGCGATTGCCTGGAATTTAATTAAAGCGCAAAAAACACGAACCGAAGTCCGTGGAAAGTGTCGAAACAAAAGAGCAGTTGCTCCCCTTGCGGAGGGGGTGGCCCATAAATCTAGCCACCCACCACCCAAGCAACCAACCCATGCTGCACGTTGTTGCAATCGAGCTGGCCCACGTCCACTGGCCAATTAGCTGCTGCAACAGCCGAGAGCGGCAATCGTTTGGGCTCCATTGAACGCGTACTCCAGCCGAGCACAGCTGCCTCTCTGATGACTGCCGCCAAAAGACGTGCCGGCAGCAGCAACAGCAGCAGCAGCAGCAGCAGTAATGGCAACGAGCAGCAGTCCCTGCAGCAACATCATCAGCTGCAGCAGCAACATCACAGTCAGCAGCAACACCAGCAGGCCCAGCCGAACGAATACCAACAGTTGCTGCAACACCCGCACCATAACCACCAGCAACACTACGGCAACAGCAGCAGCAGCAACAGCAGTAACCCACAGCAATACCACCAGAGACAGCAGCAACATCAGGCGACATTGCGCGATTGCTCCGTCAAATTGCCGCTGGATATCCTGTGAGTACGGCCAACAATTCATTTTGGGGCTCCGGTTTCGCTTTTGCACGTAGCCGATAAGAAGGCCACCAGTTGGAGGCCCCAAAAAGGTCAAGCCACTCACTCGCAACTCTCCTGGGAATCGGGAACGTAGATAGCCGCACGTCTGGATGGTTTAATAAAATTTACATTTTAACAACGCGAATGAAAATTGCATTAACTTTAACGGGACAACATTTGCTCGATTCGATTTTCCCCGCTACTGCACAGAACAAAACAGAAGAGAACATAGAAGAAGGCCAGAATCAGAGAATTATAAATATTTACGGGGGCGGGAGATAGGAGAAAGGAGCCCGGAGACAGGGACAAATGAAGCGTTTCAAATGCTTAGCGCTGCGAAAAGAAACTTATTCCAGTTTTGTCAGGATTAGAGCGCCTGAGCCTGTCTTTAAAGCTTTGCGCTCGGCGGGGATTTTGGCTTAAAGGCTGCCAGCCAACCCAGAAAGTGGGTGACAACAGTAGGACAAAAGGGGGATAGAACGATGCGATTCGTGGGGTGGTGCTGCGTTTATGCAGATCGCAGTCAAGTGGCGGCCCGCCTTGTGGGACTCGAAACGAGGCCAGTCGCAGCCGGGCTGATGCACTTGGAGAAATAAAATGGGGGATTAACTATGAGAATGCTTAAGATAATTTTGATACAATTCTAAAGGCTTACAAAAAATGTATATACGAGAAAATGGTTCTGTTATATTGTTTAAAATGTTTCAAATAAATAATAAATAAAATATTTCCTAAAATTTTATTTTTTTGACATTAAAATTTTGCATTATTTGCCTTTTTAATCTTTGCAAAATCAGAAAATTGGAGCCCTTTATATTACCCAAATGAAAAGAAATACAAATATTACTAACTTTAAAGCTATACAATATTTTTTAATTGGTCATTATTCACAAAATTATAATCTTAATTAAGGCAATTTTTTTTACATTAAAGTTTTTATATTTATTTTAAAACAACTTTTTATTTATTTATTTTTGCAGTGCTGTTACTGCAGCTGCTGGCTTAAAACGGGCTAAGAAAAATAAAAACAACAGTTGTGAATATAAAAAGAACTTAAAGCGTGTCGACGACTGGCAGAAAAAAGAAGGGGGCAAAGGGCCTTTGGGTCTGGCGGCTAGGAGGGGGAGGGGCAGTGGTGGGAAGTGGCAGGAAGTCGGTCGGTCTTGCTCTGAGGTTGCACCCTGTGCCACAAACGGCGCCGTCGAGTGAAGTGCCTCGACTCCTTGCGGGCCTGCAGCCCAGTGTGTCGTTACTTTTAACGAGGTGTCGCATGCGAAGCTCGCGCAAGTGGATGAGGCACCGATGGAGCGATAGAGCGAAGGGGCGGGGAGAACTTCAGAGGGGAAGCCACCAGTTGCCACACATTTCCAGCCATGTCCTGCCCTGCAACTACTCTATCCTGTCCCCTGTTCCCTTCCCCCCGCCGACCTCTCTATATGAAAATGCACTTAGCCGCAGACTGGCAGCAGCTCCTTCTGTCACCTGCTAATGCCCCCCTTCTCCTCTCCCTCTCACTGCCATCACACGCCCCCATTTAAGCCGCCCAGCCGTGTGGCATGCTGCAAATGAAGTCATCCATTAGGCCACGTTACGTATACGCCTAGTGTACTGCAATGTGGTGCTCATAATAATGCTGCCCGTGTTTGTTGCGGTCTAAGCGGAAACGTTTATAATGGAATTCGCTTAAGCGCCGCCGGACTGAAAATAGAGGACGACGTCCAGAGTGTCGTCTTGCTAATTTAGCTAAAGGCAGCCGGAAAGAGGAGGTGAAGTTGGGTTGGAATAGAAAGTGCAGGGAAACCGCCAGCGTTAATTACTCAGCGCCGACGGAAAGGCAATCTAATTAGCTGAATGGGGAAAGGAAGTGAAAAAGAATCGAAACCAAAACCAAAATCTAATCGATGCCTTTTGTTCTTGTCTCTGGTTTTTTTACAGATGGCTACCGAAATCGGCAATGCGGCCGGCGGGTCCTGATGCCTCGCCCAGCGACTGCATCCTGGTGGTGGGCGTGTCCCGTCCAAAATTGGCCGTCGTCTTCCTTACGGTCATGTTGATCTCGCTGTTCCTCACCTTCCACGTCCTCTACGATAGTGCCGTGTACAATATCCAAGCGGCCCAGGCGGTCCACGAGAGGCATCGCCTCTCCCTGGCCGCCTCCTCTTCGGCTTTGGCATCCTCCACATCGTCCGGCAGTTCCGGCTCCCCCTCCTTCTCCTCCTCCTCTGGTGGTGCTAACTCCAATCATCTGCCGGTGTTCGTGAAGCCCGTGCCCAGTTCCAATCAGCTAAGCCATCCGATGGTCTTTCCCTCCAGTCGTGTGCACTTTCCCAAAACCAGTCGACGGTTGCCACAGGTAAGTCTTGGAGTTCAGGGAATGCGCCACTGTATACGATAAATTATAAAATAGTTTGCCTTCGAAATTGCATGGAAATTTTAATGATTGGGCTAAGACTAGTAAATTGCATTCCGAAATTAAAGCCCTTGACAATTTAGAAATATTTTTATGGCCAGTTTTAGGGCCGTTTCCTCGTCCGCACGTTAAATTTAAAGTGAGCTTTAAACGTTGAAAAACTATGCTAATTCAGAGTTGAACGAAAACGACCCTAAATCAATTTTATCTTTCAAAACCCTAAAGATATTAATTTTCAGTTCTCTAAAATGAGTTTTTCTTTTTTTAATGACGAAAAATATTTAACAAAACGTCTAAAGTACCAATATCTTTAAATTCAAAGTGTTTATTTTAAAAATATAACTTAGGATTAAATTAGAAATTTATCCAAAGGATTGTAACTCGATAGTTCCTATTTTTCCCACTGTATATGGGCCATTCTCTGCTGTTGCACGCGACGTTCGTACGCTTTGCAGGTGAAAAATACTATCATCCAGTACTTCTTTTCCTTTGGCACTAGGCTCAAATTAAAGGTCTTGATTAGCACTAAAATATGTGCTAGGGTGACATTGGGACATTTTCATTTTTAAGATATATAAAAAACCAAGACTTTGCACGCGACACGAATAGAAGTTACTTTTTGACTTCCTGCCTAACTTTCGATTGTAACGAAACGTGAAGGAATATTTTAATGCAGTTAATTTCATAGTGTTCCTTGGTCTTTCTTCTTTAAAATGTATTTGGTTTGAATTCAAAATATTGAGTGGTTAATTTTTTATTAGTATCGAAGTGACTGTCACACGCTATTTTCCGTCATTTTCTTAGGTGGTTTTTCTGCAACCTTAACGTCAAAAAAACCTTTTTAAAAAATACTAAAAAATACCAAAAATTTTTTGTCCATATAACCGGTATTACCCTGTAAAATTATCCAAGGATACTCATATTCGTTAGCTTAGTTGAGGATCCATCTAACTAGAATCAAATATCAGTGCAAAATCATGTAGAAATATGTTTTTTTCAAGTTTTACGCTTTTTGGCTTGGTTGACATCCCCAGAGAATTGCCCATATCTAAACGAGGCGGTCTAGGCCCTGCCGACTAATTGCTGAAATTTGCATGTTCATGTTCTTTTGGCTTGATTTCCGGACCCAGGCACTCATCATCGGCGTCCGAAAGTGTGGAACCCGGGCGCTGCTGGAGATGCTATACCTGCATCCACGGATCCAGAAGGCCGGCGGCGAGGTGCACTTCTTCGATCGGGACGAGAACTACCTGAAGGGCCTGGAGTGGTATCGCAAGAAGATGCCGCACTCGTTCCGGGGCCAGATAACCATCGAGAAGAGCCCGAGCTACTTTGTGTCGCCAGAGGTGAGTCTGTGTTTCTCGCTTTGATCTCTAATTGGCAATTAGGATTGCCTTTCTCTTCGGCACCCCACCCCGTAATTATTAATTAACTGTCTGCCGGAATGTAGTAGTCGGCCGGCTGTAGTCCATCTATCAAATTAAAGCGAAACGCTGCCCAGGTCCCAGCCAATTTCCGTGTCCATGCCGGACTCAGAGCGGAAATGTTTGCAAATTCATTTGGCAAACGGCAATGTCTAACACTAACACCCAACCGAATCGCTTTTCGGGCCAGCTTTTATTATTGTTACTTTTCCGGTCGCCTGTGTTTTTGTTGCCCGCAGAGTGTCACTAAATTGGGTTTTTGGCCTGATGCAATTTCGCTGCGAGCCGGAAGTTGCATGTGACGCTGGGAAAAAGTGGGCCAGATGGGCGGCAGAACTTGGTTGGCATCCTTACCGGTCCGACAGGGCAATATTTTATCCAGTTTCATTTCAATTTTAACTGCCTTGTTCGTCGCTCAACTGCAGTTGATGCATCATTTCAATTTGTCTGGCACTTGGATGGCGCAACATGGAGTTGAGACTAAAAATTCTGAAGCTCTGATGGAGATAAATCTTCATTAATGTTGTTATTAATATTTATTGAGATGCAGTCGGTGGAAGGCAGAGGGCAACTAATGCGGATCTCAGTCAGCGGAAAATGTCAAATTATCATGGAGAGCTTCGTAAATAATGCAACAACTCCCCACGGTGTACTTTGGCCTCAAACCGAAGCCCTCGATCTGCTCCCCGGGGCTGGTGAACTCTGTGATATGTCAAATGCATTTTGGCTGCATTAAAGATTCAGCGAAATGTATATTCCCCGGGCGAGATGTGGCAACTGTAAATGGTTCATCAACGTGAATAATTCTGAAACGCTTGAGTACACGGGGGAGCAAAGGCGAACGTGGCTGAAACAAAAAAGTTATGAACTTGTTGCACGGCCTGGTGGCTCTTATTGAAATTGATTAAGTTTATTTACTCGGCTCGTTTCGCCCATTTGCGAGGCTATTTATACAACGTGGCAAATTCAAGGACCCCGGCGGAGCCAAGTCCGGGGTCTGCCAACATTGTACGGCAATATTTTCCGGCTTAATTAAATTGTTCACAGCACACTTGCTGCGGAAGTGCAGCAGCAGGGGGGCGGACAGGAGGACGGGCTGACAGGGGGCGTGGCTGCCACAAAAGGCAGCAAATTAAAGCCAACAAAAGGGGCGCCCAAGCTTCTCTTAAAATGTAGCGCCCAGAGTTTGCAATTATTATCGATTGTTGGTCCCCGGCATAAATTCATTAATTGGAAAGACGGAGGCACAGCATCCGATACTCGGTTTACACCGAGGTCCACCTTGAGAAATCATTAAAAAATATGTGCAAAAAAAACATATTTTACTTTTGTAAAATAATATTTGCCATACAATTTCTTTAATATTTCAGCGCATCATAATTATTTTATGCAAATTTTTGTTGTTCAATCTGCCAACTAAATTCTTTTTCATGCGCTTTTTTAGCTCACGCCATTTAGGTTATTGTTAGCCTTTCGCTTCAAAAATTCACAGTTTTATTTAAATTATTTGCATACAATCAGGTCGCAAGAACTATTAATTTTGGGAGGAAACAAAAATAAATAAATGTCGGCTTGGTCCCCGGCATAAATTCATTAATTGGAAAGACGGAGGCACAGCATCCGATACTCGGTTTACACCGAGGTCCACCTTGAGAAATCATTAAAAAATATGTGCAAAAAAAACATATTTTACTTTTGTAAAATAATATTTGCCATACAATTTCTTTAATATTTCAGCGCATCATAATTATTTTATGCAAATTTTTGTTGTTCAATCTGCCAACTAAATTCTTTTTCATGCGCTTTTTAGCTCACGCCATTTAGGTTATTGTTAGCCTTTCGCTTCAAAAATTCACAGTTTTATTTAAATTATTTGCATACAATCAGGTCGCAAGAACTATTAATTTTGGGAGGAAACAAAAATAAATAAATGTCGGCCTTTTTTATAAAAGAGTTATATTTTGTATAAATTTAAATTTGCCAAACTGTGTTATCATTCCTATTTAACAGGGGTTGATTTTAAAGGCAACTTGAAAATTGTTTGATTAACAATTTCAGAGGTGTCACGAAACCGTCGACGTTTTGGGGACCGTTGGTTTGGAATCTGTGGTAGAGTTTCGAAGTAATGATTTTATGCTTGGATTTAAATCGTCTCCTTAATTTTGGCACGGTTTATGTGACACCAAGAATTGGTTTTACCGATTAATGTTCAAGCACACATGTTTCAGGTCACTAAGAAATATGAATACTATATAAATATTAAATTTAAGAAAATTGTCTATGAAGAAAAATTTTTTTCTGTGGGACCCCTGTATAAGACAAAAATAAGATAATGATATGCCATCATTACCATTATGTTTTTGACCAATTCTTGGTCTTAAACTTTTTAAAATATTAATTTTATTTCGTATAAATCACTTTCATAATAATTTATTTATATTTTAAAACTTTTTATAATAAATTTCAGGTTCCGGAACGAGTGCGGGCCATGAATGCCAGCATCAAGCTGCTGCTGATTGTGCGGGAGCCGGTGACCCGGGCCATTTCGGACTACACGCAGCTGCGTAGCCATGCGGCCACCGCCATCCTCCCGCTGGCCGAGAAGGACCCACCCATTCCCAGGGAGAGTTCGGGCGGGGGGGCTGCTGCTGCTGGATATGGAACCGCAGCTGCCAAGATGCCGTCGCAATCGGTGCTGTATGCCAAACTGCAGTCGGCCCGTGGCTATGACAATGCCCTGGTGGGTGGCAGTGGGGCGGGCGCCAAGGAAACCAAAGGGAAAACAGGAACTTCTTCGGTCAGAAGGCAGGCGGTGGGTGGCGTTGGGGCTGCGATGACCACGACGACACTGTCGCCAATGGCGAGCGCCGCCCAAATGGCAGCCAAGTAAGTGAAGTGAACTGAGGCGTTTACCCGTGCCCCCAAAAACATCCTCCTCCCTTTTGGCTGCTGCTTGACATGCAAATGAAATGCAAACTGCAAATGAAAGTTGCCCAAAATGCGACTCTTGTCCTTGGCTCCCCTCTCGCTCTCTGTCTCTTTCCCGCCGATGGGGAAACTTTCTTGTTGCGACCTCACTTGTTGACAGAGGGAGTGAAACGAGGAGCGAAAGGAGCCAAGGACTCTGTTTAACATGGTCGACAAGTGGAGAGTGGAGCGATGGGGAGTGCTGCTCATTTGCAGCTGTTGGCAATTCAATTTGCCGTCCTTGTCGAAAGCAGATTTAAAACCCTCATCTCGCTCACCCGTTCGCAGGTCCTTTGAGGAGCTGGCCATATTTCCCAATGGCACCGTTAACGAGGCTTATCGACCGCTCAGCATCTCCATGTACCATGTCCACCTCCACCGCTGGCTGGAGGTCTTTCCGCGGGAGCAGCTCCTGGTGGTCAATGGGGATCGGCTCATCGAGGATCCGGTTTCCCAGTTGAAACGCATCGAGGCTTTTCTGGGTGAGTAACTTTCGCAGGTGGTATATCTGTGATTTATAATAGGAACGTACATTTTTATTTAAATTTAAAAGTGCAGTAATTCAGTTAGTTAAACGAAAAGTAGAATTTAAACTCAACATTTCTATAGGTCTTCTTGTTAAAAATCCTATTTTTTCTATCCAAATATTTAAAATTTATTTTCGAAAATGTCTAACATGACATCCTAAAATAAGGAATATTTTGGAGTTATCTTAAATCTATCTGTACTTTAAGTTTTACTGGTATATTTAACGTACGTATTTCATTTATAACAATATTTATAATTATTCTTTCTTTTGTATTTTAGGCATTGAACATCGGGTGAATAGTGAGCACTTCTACTTCAACGAGACGAAGGGATTCTATTGCCTGCGCTATGACAACGGGGATCGCTGCCTCCGGGAGACGAAGGGCAGGAAGCATCCGCATGTGGATCCCGTGGTGGTCTCCAGATTGCGAAAGTTCTTTGCCGAATACAATCAACGTTTCTACGAGCTGGTGGGCGAGGATCTCGGCTGGCCGGAGGAATAAACTGTGACTAGGAAATTGGAAATGGGATGGCAAATGAAAAGTTCTTCGTTGGGCTGCCTGCCAATAAATCTGCCGTTGGTCAATCGTTTGGCCCGCTGTGCAGCCAATTTAATTACAAGGAAGAGCAGGCCATGTACAAAAAAAGAGGTCAAATAGCGTGGCAAAGTTATCCCGGACTTTCGTTGCCATTTTCCGTTGCATATTTTTGCGAAGGGCGGTTCGCAGTATTTCTGCCTGGCCGAGTCGAGCAGCTCTGACAGTTCAATTATGTGCGCGTATTGAAAAATCGCATTCCTATTTTCCCAGCCCAACCCAACCACCCACTTACCATCACCATCACCACCACCACTACCACCACATGCAAATTTGCCTTTAAACCAGCAAAGAACAAGCGAAAGGAGCGAAACAAGGAGCCACATGAAAAAATATAGTAAAATAAACTGCACGCATTTTTGGTGTGCAGCAGGCCATGAAAATGTGTGTATGGAGATATCCATATATCGTATATATATATGTATATATCGCATATATATAGCGGAATGAAAAGCAATATCTACATGATGTTCGAAGGTTACACGTTTTCTACGTCTGCCTGTGTTCTACATGCTTATTTTCTCTCTCTCCGCGTGTGCGAGTGAATTCGAGTGTCTGAGAGCATAAAAATTAATTAAGCAACTAAATGTGATTTTATAGCAAGTAAGCATAGGACAAATTGAAAATGATTGCGATGGCTGGGTGTGTGGGTATGTGGGGATGGGGAGAGAGAGAGAGAGATAGAGAGATCATTGGAGGAGTGAAGGGGCAATTAAAAATGTATTTAGACTAACAGTCGGCTGAATTAAATGTGTGCGTACAGAAACATGAACAAAACTAAACATATCACACTTAGTATAGCATAGCATAGCATAGTATAGTATATATACACAACATATCAGGGGTACTCGAGGTCCTCAAGCAACTTGAATACTGAATATGATTGAACTAAAGCATTCGTACGTTATGTTACATATCGAAAGCTAAACCAACCATGAAATCGAAACATATCAGCTGCAATCGTCGGCAAATATACAAGAACAAATATATATACAACGTACATATCTATATATATGTTATATACAAACGTATCGTAGACCGTAAGTCGAGCATCAAATTTGTTGTAAATGACTTTGATTTTGACCTAGTTTGTAGTGCGCGATGTGTCACGGAATCGTCATAGACAAACTTCTAGTTGAATATAGCCGTATCCTAGGTTAATAACGCACTGCCTAAACCAAAAGAATAGTTATGTCTGTTTAGATAATTATACTGCACCCACTTAGGTGATAAGTTTATCAAAGATAGTTTTTTAATGCATTTTTAAACCGGATTATTTTATATTCCTAAAGAGAGAAGGCCATATCAATTACGGCCACTCTACCTATAGATACACATAATATATATATGGGCCCAAAAAAGCACAACCAAAACCGAAACGAATAAAATATTTCACAGATTTTGCCCCGATATAGTCAATTGTGGATAGAGCTAACACAAATTGGGTAAGTGATATTTTAACAAACCCCACCAATATAGCAAATCAGTTGGCATTTTGTTATTTTGACCGCCGTTAAATTACCAGGTGCTAATAGGACATTACTGAATGCTTCATTCACATGCTAAACTATTAAGTTAAAACAAAACATCCAGCAATGAGAAGAGGTAAAGAAATCCTTTACAAAACAGTCAAAATGTCCCGAGCGACAGTCCCGACGAATGTGTGAAACCATAAAAAAACGGCAAAGAATTTTAGTGAAACCAAAAGCATTTCACAGCGACATGTGAACAACATTCTAAAAAAATCCATCAAATATTCCATCAGAATCAATTCGGTGTGATAACTTCAAATCCACCATTTTGTCCCGAGCGAATACGGCAGTTTTACCGATATCTAAAAACTAAAAGTGGTACAAAACAAGATTTTTACCAAAAATTGAGCTGGGAAGAGTGAAAAAAAAGCCCATAATAAAATTAAAATCCATTGTTTACAGTTTTCAACTTAAAGGTGCAAATGTCCCGAGCGACATTTTGGAAGTGCCCATATACACTTATCAGCGGTTTAGCTAACGTTTAAACATTTCGTATGCATATTAAACTCAATGTGAAAATCTCAACTTAGGCTAATACTTTCCGTGACGATCCATCCAATTTCGGTTGATACCAACAAACACGCGTATATACATACAGATATATATGTACATACCTCCCCCCTTGGTTCGTGTACCAGTTCTTAGGGATCTTCAGCACAGAACTCGGCTAGCGCCTAATCAATACTAAACAGAAAATAGACTATGAAATGTATAAACCTTGTTTTTACAGTGTATCTCCTTATATACATCCTACGCTGATCTCTCAACAACAAAGGAACCACGAAAGGAATGAAACTAACCAAGCAATATAAATTTAAAGCAAGACTGAAGGTCCTCCGCAGAATATTTTATTCTCATTTTATTTTGTCAATCACTGGATTTGTTTTGAATTATACAAACCAACCTAAAGGAAATATAGTAGCAAAGACAACGAAAATTTCTAATTTGTTTATATTTTTATACAGAAGTGAAAGCACATTAACCGAGATCCAGGAAGGAAACCCCAAATGGAACCAATTTCCGTTTAAAATATATTAAAGTAATGCGAAATTATATATTAAAATACTCAAAGAGCAATTTGTAGTCACATTTTGTCCTCTAACTTGAACTACGCCAATTGCATACAAAATACATATCAAAAGTTTAACTCAAATCTAGATCCTCCATTGATATTGATATATTGATATTATTGATGTATTGTCTACTTAAATTGAACGTGCAAAACTCAACAACTATAATGTACCTTAAAAATCAACTCTCTATTTCTTTAACTTTAACTTAAACTCTAATGATAACTCAACTCTTGCAACTTATTCAAACTTTCAATGTACATACATACAAAAAGTATTCAAAAATAAACAAAATAAATCAACTAATGACGAAGAAAAATCGTATAGAAATTCAACAAATTGTAAGAAAACCAACAAGAATCAACATTTTATGCTATGGAAAATTTTACGCATGCAATAAATAAATGTAATTCGAAAAACGGAAAATATGTGGGGGTTTTGTTTTTCCTATATGGCCTATATGGCCTGCATATCCTTATGCTTTAATAGATGGTTTTTACACTTCACGAAGCACTTCTACATCAGTTTCGGTTAGAAAGCTTTCAAGAGATTTGGACGCAAACCTGTGTAAAATACAAGTAAAATATTTTGTTTTGTATATTATAGGATTAGTAGTAGTTGAACTACAACTAAAATTTACAAAATATGTAAATTTTTCCAACTAATTACAATTTTTAAAATATGAGAGATATGGTTGTTATAATATTACAACAATTTTTGTAGGTGGAAAATGTCGCTTTGGTGTTAAATAGTTTTAAAACAGTGAAAAGGTAGTGTAAAAAACACAGAATAGACCGAATTATTTAGATTAAAACTATTAATATTACTTAAGCACTCGGTGATTAAAGTCAGTATTAGTGAATTTATATGATCGAATGAGAATTATTTTGCGACCTAGATAATGGTAAAAATGTAATAATTTTCAGTTTAATTCATTTGTTTAGCTTTTTGAGATACACTTAGTATTTACTTATCCTTTCAGTGTAGAGAAAGCTACGATTTGTATTCTGCTATTTTCAAGAGAATAAAGCTTTGTAAGTGCAATATTTTTTCTCTCAATTTAGTTGCAATTGGCAATTTGTCGCCACCGGTCGTTGTCTGTCGAGCCCCGGCTATTTTTTATTCATTTTTTTATAGTATATAAGTGTTATATACTAATTTAAACCAGTTACCCGCTGCAAATAAAAATAAAAATGTGGAAATTTTATACTACAATTATTGAACGACATGGTGCAGGCAGTCAGTTGAGATTAGTAAGGGATTTCTCAGTGGGTGGAATACACAGTCAGCAGGTGAGAAATTGGCAAAAAAAGCAAGAGCTTTTAAAGAGCGAATCATTGTTTACAAACAAAGACTAGAAGTATATATTCGTTTTCACAGACCCAGTTGGAATTGTTGGACACTTCGACGCCTCGCATCGATGAGAAATGGCAACAGGCCAGGCCCTATGGAGAAATGCCAGGTCCCAGCACATTGCGAATGATATCTTACTTTATGCCGGGAGGTAAGGGAAACTAAGAATAATAGATTTCGGTTTTATACTAAACTTAGCATGTAATAATTATGTATTTATAGGAGCCCTTCGCAACACAAATTTGATTCAGATGAACCGCCGCATGAGGGAGATGTATGGGGATATTTATTGTATCCCTGGTATGATGGGAAAACCGAACGTAGTCTTCACTTACAACCCAGAGGACTTTGAGGTGACTTACCGCAACGAGGGCGTTTGGCCCATTCGAATAGGTTTGGAGAGCTTTAATTACTATCGAAAAGTCCACAGACCCGATATTTTCAAAGGCGTTGGTGGGCTTGTTTCTGAGTGAGCTAAGATTGATTTTCTTAAAAGCCAATATCTTTTAAAAATATTGCTTTCAGCCAGGGACAGGCTTGGGCTGATGTACGCAACAAGGTGAATCCTGTTCTTATGAAAGTACAGAATGTCCGTCAGAATCTACCGCAACTAGATCAGATATCTAAGGAGTTCTTAGACAAGTATGAGTTACATACATCTATTAAAACTATTTAAGCGAATTATAATAACCTTTTTAGATTGGAAGCTCTGAGGAATCCAGAAGACGACACCCTGAGTGCCGACTTTCATAATGAGCTCAAAATGTGGGCCTTCGAGTCCATTAGCTTCGTGGCCTTAAATACCAGAATGGGATTGCTAAGTGATCATCCAGATCCCAATGCTGCTCTTCTGGCTAAGCACATGGGTGACTTCTTTAGCTACAGCTTCAAGTACGATGTGCAGCCCTCAATTTGGCCATATTATAAAACACCTGGATTTAAAAAGTTCCTTAAAACCTACGACGATATCACCGAGATTACCTCAAACTACATAGAGACCGCAATGAAACGCTTTGATAGCAATGAAAATCGCAAGACCAAGTGCGTTTTGGAGCAGCTGCTGCAACTTAACAAACAAGTGGCTGTGGCAATGGTTATGGACATGCTAATGGCTGGAATCGATACGGTATGCGATTGGCTACTTCCCTTAATTTATATTTATACTTTATCCCTCTTTCAGACTTCTTCCGCGTGCCTCACGGTACTCTATCACCTGGCTCGTAATCCCTCAAAGCAAGAGAAATTGCGTAGGGAATTACTGTGTGTATTGCCGAACACCAAGGATTCGTTAACGGATGGGAGTACCAAAAACATGCCCTATTTGCGAGCTTGTATCAAGGAGAGCCTGCGTATTACCTCCATAACACCCGGAAACTTTCGCATTACGACCAAGGATCTAGTGCTGTCGGGTTATCGGGTGCCTCGTGGCACCGGAGTCCTCATGGGAGTGCTGGAACTATCGAATAGCGATAAGTACTTTGCCCGGAGTGCCGACTTTATACCCGAGCGGTGGCTGAAGTCCGACTTAGCTGCCGACGTCCAGGCGTGTCCGGAAGCTCGATCCCGCAATCCCTTCGTGTACCTGCCCTTCGGTTTTGGACCCCGCACCTGTATCGGCAAGAGGATTGCCGAGCTGGAGATCGAAACGCTTTTGGTGCGACTTCTGCGTAACTACAAGGTCAGCTGGCTGCCCGAAACGCCGCTGCAATATGAAAGCACCATTATCCTGTCTCCCTGCGGCGACATTCGCTTCAAACTGCAGCCAGTCGGTGATGCAATGTGATTGATATTAGTATCCTAAGCTCAAGTACAGACTTCCGGTTAAATTCAGAGATTTACTCGCAGTATTCACTAACAATATGGGAATGTAAAAGAATAGGAAAAAGGCTAGCTGGCTAGGAGGAAAATCGAACGATACGGTCTAACGCCGATTGCGTCCACGGTAGCGTTGGTGGGAATGATTGCGCTGACGCTGCTGTTGATTTTGCTGCTGATTCTGTTGATGGTTTTCCTTCGGAGTTTGGGGTTTCTCGGCTGCAGGTGCTTGGGGAGTTGAGTTTTTCGCCTCTTCAGTGGGTTGATCTGTCGTCTCCGCAGTGGGCGTGGAGTGGGCTGAGGATCACACGGTGATATTAGACAGTTTACAAATGTATAGTACAAATTAATTACTTGCCCAGGACGGATTGGATGCTGGCCCTCTTGAGGAGGGCCTGGGTTCCTAGGCTAGTATTGAAGCAAGTGGGTGAACCTAGTGGGGGATAAAGATATACCTATTAGAAATCAGTTTAAAGTGATGTGATACTAATGTCTTATGGAATACACGACATGCTATTAGGAATAGGAGTGAGGAACCCACCGATAGGGCTATAGAATATATCTTCGGAGGAGGTGGCAGGAGTGAGGGTGTTGACAGTGGGATAGTTGGATAGCTGGGAGTCGCTTAGGGTGGCGGCAATCTCGAGGATCTGTTCCGTTTGGGTATCTGGCTGGGTTTCCGGGGCCTGGATATCCCGTTGGTAGATAGTGCTCCCGGTTTGGCTGCTGCCACTGGTGCTGCAACTGTCGTCTGCATCGTCTTCGTCTGATTCATCGTTTTCGGTTTGGGATTGGAATTGGGATGGAGGTTCGGATGGGGTTTCGGATTCTGGTTCTGGGTCGGGTTCAGTGCTGGCTGTTGTGTTTGAACACATGCACGGAGTAACAGAAACAGAGACAGAATACTAACGTTAAAATGTTAATTGGGACCGCATGGAGCGATTCTCGTGTGAGTTACCTGCAGCGGCGGTATTGTTGTAGAGTCGAGTGTTCATCATGGCGGCGCTTATGTGTCCCGGCGAAGACTTCCACTCCTCGTCCTGCTGGTGGGCAGCAGCTGGGGGGTTGGGAATAGGGGGGAGAAACAGAGAAAGATTCGAGGTCAAGGCAACGGGAAGGCAACGAAAAATGGGGGGAGGGGCCAAACTCACAAGAGGCTTGGTGCCAAAATTTCGAATTTTTTGTTTCGGGCCCGCAAATGGATGGATGATCTACGGAAATGACTGAATCGAGTTCTCGAGGATTGTATCGGTATTGTATTGTATTTCATCATGACAACGTTTTAAGTTCAGTTTTCATCTACGCTTAAATCGATATTCGATACTTGGAGTTAACCTAGACTTAGGGGGCTACGCACGAGAGTCTTAATAATGTTCAAGTTCAATGTCCATTACCAACTTCCGCCTGCTCCTTGTCGTTGTTGCCATTGCTGGTTGTCGTTACGTTCGGTTTTCCCTTATCGTTTTCCTTCTCCTGCAGCTTGTGAACACCGTTTTCCAACGCTGGTTTCTGCTTGGCCTGAGATAAAATCTTGGTTAATTGGAGTACGGGTTCGGGGGTTTGGGTAGGTATCCCACCTGGTCGACAAGCTCTTCCACCTCGCCGCTGCTAATTCCCTCGCTGGAACCGGATTCGGAATCGCTGTTCTCGCTGCTGCTGCTGCTGCTGCTCTCGTCCTCCTCCTCTTCATTGGGCACAAAGTCAGAGTCATCCTCGGAGTTTTCGTTGGCATACTTGGCCAGCATCTGATCGATGGTCAGGTTATGATCGGCATCGGCATTGGAGTCCTCTTCCCGCGGACGCTTTACAACCACGGAATTGTTTAGTCCCTGTAATAAATATTTTTAGTTTTAGATGACTTGGTTCCCCTATAAACTTACCTGCTCTGAGTGGCGCACAAACACCCGTCGACTGTTGGTGTCCTGCTGAACTCCTGGACGGCACATGGCCCGGGAAAACCACTGAGTGAGCTTCTGGGTCAGACCCTTGCCACTGCCGTAGGACACCTCCTGCTGGCGATGCCTCATGACCCGAAGGCCATGAACCCGGATGGCCCGCAGCTTACGACGTCGCGTCTGGATGAAGTAGACCATGTCCGAGGGGGATATGGGACCATTGCCGATCATTAGGGCGCCCACCGATAGCCAAATGCGAGTGACTCGCAGCAGGATGATGAGCATCAGGAAAGGAACCCAAGGCAAAGGACGTTCCAAGGGAGCCGAAGATTTCTCTGTGTTTAAGGAGGGGACAATCTCTGAATATATTATAAGCTCGAAAAAAGCAGGTCTTGTGCTCACCTATCGGCAGACTCCACTTGGCCGTATCCTCGATCATTGCCAAGGCGCGATCCGCCCTTTCGATCACGAATTGCCCAATTCGCGTGCTGGAAAAGCGCTCCGCCTGCTCGCGAATCCGATCGTAGAAGCTGCGCGACTTGTTCAGTTCCCTGACTTCTTCCTCATCAATATGGTCCTGCTGGTGCTGATCCTTGGCTGGCGCCACCGTCTTCGTCTCCTGTGCCATCTCGCTGATTTAAAAATACCGATTTTGTTGGTTTTTTATTAGAAGAAGTACAGCTTCAAATTCAAAGTAAATAATATGTAATACATATGCTGCAAAACTTGGTTAATAGTCACTTGACACTTGACTAGCTAACAGTATTTATTTTACAAAGTCATGGATACCTAGAAAAAAACCTACGTTTTTTCACATATTTTCAGATATGTCATGATTTTTTTAAACCAGTCTAGTCAGTTAGTCGAATTGTACACAGAAAAAATTATACAACGTTTTAGGTGCCGTTTTCATATTTTACTTTTTACTTTTTAAAATGTTTCACACCCTATTTTGCGCCTAAAACTTTTGGTAATTTTCTCTGTGTAACCTTTTGCTTTCTCAACTTAACACAATGTTAAATATTAACATTATTATTTCTTGTTTATCCATTTATATTATTCTTCTTAAAAACTTTTACCTATTTCTTAGGTATCGTAAAATGTAATCTTTTGAAATAAAAAACAAAGCAGGAAAAATCAAACCGCTTTTCTTATCTTGCAAGTTCGTCCATAACTCGACATATATTCCGCTTAATGTCGATTTAATTCTCGGCAATTACTAAAGCAGCCATAAAGGTATCCGTACAATTCGGGATTGCCGCGTGATTAGCGACTGAACAACCGGAGAATACGGTAATACAGTATTAATAAACCTGACACCGCGAGGTCGTCTGCCAGAGGAACCGAAAGTGGATCGCTTATCGGAGCGAATCGGAACTTCGCACTTGTTTGAGTTTGAGATTGAGTATCGCTTTTGTTTTTTGTTGCTGCCGTCTGGCAAAACTTATAGCCGCTACTATATAGTACCTAATGCCTTCCGCCGACAATGACTAACGGCAAATAATTAAGAAGACCTAAGCAGAAGCAGCAACAAAAATCAAAACAAATTAAGTATTATAAAATTAGACCAACTGAACTTTGTACGATTCCGCCTGGAGGAATAGTTCCAATTCCACACGTTGATTACGAAAGATCTCCGTCTCGGAACTTTTTGCAATCGGTTTGTGGGTGAGGTTAATAGTTAGGTTATTGGTGATTTGAAAATGTTCCCTATCACGAAGCCAATGAAATGCTAGGTTAGTCCCTCTTTCGGTCACACTTGTCCGCATAAATTATTTTCAGAATGCTGCTCATTTTGTTGATTGCTTTCATTCTTATTCTTATTCTGGCCGCCAAGATAGAAATCTGGCGTATAATATAAAGTTACACAGGCATAACAATCACTTATTTTATATTTATAGCGCTTATTGCATCGCTCAGAAAATACGCGAATTCTCAATAAAATAACAAAAACAATAAAATTATCACAAAATTTGTTTTCGGGATCAAAGTGTATCTGTACCTCCATAAAATGCAAAATTAATAAGCACACACACACGCACATGGCGCAGTGGAATGAATTGGAGCCAGTCCCTGTTGTACAGTGTAACGAGATGGAAATGCAGAAGTTCTCGGCGAGTGAAGAAGTCGGTGAGGGAGGGGAAAGAAAAGGAGGAGCAGAGCGAAAGTATAAAGTGCAAGGCACTGGAAATTAAACTGATAACGGTAGTTTCGCTTTCCTGCAATAATGGCGCTCGAGAATCAGCGGAGAAGACGCAAAGACCGACTGAAGCATGTCCACTTACCGGTCTCTTGGATTTCCTTTTAGTGATTTTCTTTTTGGTTACTCGAAACCTTCGATCCAGCCGCTAGTTTCGGAAGTTACTGTTTTCAGTTACTAAAAGGAATTCGGATAGTTAAGAGCACTTTGGTGGTACACTTTTCCAAATCCTCCTTAAGTTTCTGGACCAACGATCTCTGGTTCAAACCCTCCGGCTGCACAAATCCCGACTGACTGAACAGCGGTTCTGGAATTCTGGGTTCTCGAACCGCCGTCGCATTGATCGGCTGGGACTCGGGTCCCGAAACGCGATCGCGTTCGTGTCATCTGCGTTATCTCTTCTTTTAGTAATCTCTCGCCTCTCTTTTGATACGATCCCTCAAGATATCGTTTATAGGAAGTTTGAGGGCTGATTTAAGGGATTATTCAGAAAGATTTTATAAAATATTATATACTAATTATATTATATAATCTTTTATAAAAGGTATTCAAGTTTTTAAAAATATAATGAATCGTTATGTTATTCTCTTTAACTTAAAAAATACAAAGTTTTAGAAAATTTGGGTTATAAATAAGCTTTTTATGCACTGAAGACGTTAAAAGTTCTGAAGAAATGTTTAAGATTCGGCTCCTATGACTTTGTAATATTTTGAATTAATTTCTTAATTAGGCTGCGGAGTACCATTCCTTCACATAAAGTGATTAAATAAAAATCCATATGTCGCGAGTAAAAGATAAGCAAATTAAAGCTTCTCGTTATTGGTTTTAGAGCCAGTCACCAATGACAATCGTGTTTACCTGGTTTGTTTATCCTGTTTGAAGGACCCTTCGTCCCTTCGGCACTTTTGAGCAGCCACTCGACCGAATTCCACTCAATTTCGCATTGCGCTCGGCGGGAAAAGCTTTCCGAGCCCAGCAGGCGCGGAAAAGCTCTTGGCGAGCGTTCAGTTGCGCGAAAACTCTCTCCGACGGCGGACGGCATTGCGGAGCGTTCCTCCCTCTCGCTCACTCGAAAGGCGCGTTTCTGTGTAAAATCAGTCGGGACTTCCCGCTCCCTTTTTCCCCACGCGAAGTTCTGGAAGGACTCCTCCGCGCCCCTTTCGCCCTTTGCCCCGCCGAAAAAGCCATTCATCTCGCGTGTGTGCTGCAAAAATAAAAGCAGGAAAAGTTTAAACGTGTGCAGTGTGTTGTGAAAAATTATTTGGCCAACTGCAAATGCAAAGCGGCGGTGCAGGTCCTAAATGGGAAAATAGGAAAATCACGATGAGCACCAGCAGCATACAAGGAAATTCGGAAAGGCGAGCAGGAAGGAGGATGTAGTCGCGGAATTTAAAAGCACTTGTCTTGGTGACCTCTCACACACACAGCAGTCAGGATGTGTAAGTGTTTTGGCGAAATAAAAATGTTTGGCTTCCACAATTGCCATTGATAAGCCACCAAACACAGCAAACACACCTGGCTAAGCTAGGGCCAACGCGATTTTTCCCACCTGCGACAGCTGCCCCCGTGTGTTGTATATATTTTTGTACATTTTTTAGACAGCCCTCACGTAATCCGTTATCCCTTATCCTTTGGGCCCGCCCAACTCCCTTTGATGCTGGTACATGGCTGCTGGTATACAGCTGAATGCTGCCACTTCAGCAGCTGAGTCGCTCTCAAAGGCCAACGCCGCACAATTTGGCCAGCTATTTTTATGCGGGTTGAGTGCGGCTTTGGCTAAATTAGTTTGTGCATAAATTTCACCCCACAAATGGGGTGCTTAAGATGTTTGTGAAACAAAACCAAACAAACAAATAGGGCATTCATATAAAAAACAAACAAAGAGGGTACTTATTAATAAAAACATAAATAAATCATAGACCTTCCGAATATGTTTATCTACACACATGTGCTTGTTATTTTTACCAAAGCTTTGCTTAACCTACATACAACAACACCTGTTTAAATAAAAAGGCAAATAGGCAATGAAAAAGTTGCTGAATTTTTCATAATTTCAAAACTTTCTTTTGAAAAACAATATAAATATAGAAACAAATGCCAACATTTCAAAGTCAAATTTATATTTAATATTATTAATAATATTTTAAAACAAGAAGGGAAGCTACCTTCGGCCAGTCGAAGCTTATATACCCTTGTAGATTAAAGAATGCTGACTCGGTGCAGTTCCAAGGATTCCAGATTCAGCGTTTCTATTTATTTAAATTTTGTTTTTAAGTAGTCAAGAATCAAAACGCCTACAATATATTTTCAGCAAAGGTATGTTACAACAAGAAAGGAAGCTAGCTTCGGCCAGCCGAAGCTTATATACCCTTGCAGATCATTCCTATTAATTAACAAATCGCAAAAATGTTCAATTTTCTAATATTTCTCATTAATTTTCCGATCGTTCCTATGGCAGCTATATGATATAGTCGACGGTTTTGGTCAAATTAAAATTGAAATTCGGAAATATTTAAAAAGAGTCATATCCTAGAGTAGAAGATAATACAATAAAAAGCAAAGAAGCTAGAATTTATTTCCTATTACTTTTCCATTAATTTACCGATCGTTCCTATGGCAGCTATATGATATAGTCGTCCGATTTTGATTAAATTAAAATTGAAATTCGGAAATATTTAAAAAGAGTCATATCCTAGAGTAGAAGATAATACAATAAAAACCAAAGAAGCTAGAATTTATTTCCTATTACTTTTCCATTAATTTTCCGATCGTTCCTATGGCAGCTATATGATATAGTAGTCCGATTTTTAAAATATTTAATTCGAAATTCAGAAATATTTTAAAAATAACATCCCCAAAAGTAAAAGGTAATATTTCAAAAAACACCGAAGCTAGAATTTTTTTAACGTTTTCTTTTCCAATCCTTCCTATGGGAGCTATAAGATATAGTTGTCCGATCCGGTCGGTTCCGACATATATACTACCTGCAATAGAAAGAAGACTTTTGGGAAAGTTTCATCCCGATTGCTCAAAAACTGAGAGACTAGTTTGCGTAGAAACGGACGGACAGACGGACAGACGGACATGGCTAGATCGACTCGTCTAGTGATGCTGATCAAGAATATATATACTTTATGGGGTCGAAAACGTCTCCTTCACTGCGTTGCAAACTTCTGACTGAAATCATAATACCCTCTGCAAGGGTATAAAAATGATGCATGTGTTTTAGGTGAGAATCATTAGTCTGGTCGAAGTAGCCGCGTCCGTAAGTCTGTCTGTCCGTCCGTATGATATCACTAGAACAATAAGAGCCAGAATTCAATCAGCAAGTTTGCTTCTGAGGGCTTATACTGTTAGTTAGGATTTAAAAATATATTTTTCTAATATATGCCATTGGAATATATTATGAAAACAGCTCACAACTTATTGAGCTTCCCTCGCCATGATTTTGGCGCCATGTCAGCAAGGGGTTAGGACCGATAACCTCTGAAACGCACAGGTTCCGCGGACGTTATGGCGGCCAGGTCGTTCCATTCCATTCCTTATTACTCGCCTTTCAGCTGCTGGTCTTCATGGCAGTTATGGCGTCTTTGCATGCCGTTGCGCTTCCGGTCCACACTCACACACACACATACACAACAGAGCACTTACACATACACTCACAGAGACATATAGAGACACGCAAGTACGTCGATGGCAGTTGGCATGGCCAAGTGAAAATAAGTGGCCAACACACTGAGCTGTTCTATTCGGTTCTGTTCAGTTTGTATGGTCTGTCTAGATGTCGCGTGCTATTTGCCTGATATAGTTTTTAATTATCGCTTGGCGCTCATTTCTCAGCTCTTCTCTCTCCCACTTTGCCATTAATTTGTTCCCGTTTATATGACCATTTGACAAATCAACATCCGAGAGCGGAAAAGCAGAGGGAATGAGGAAGAAAACTGTCGCCACTGGTGGCCTCGAGGTGTCTGCCCTTTTCATCCCTTTTGCTCGATTCCCCATCCCCCGCTGTTTAGAACCACATATTCGTATTCCTTGATTGAAATTGCAGCAGCCATCTGCAAATTGCCAAACATAAAATGAAACATAGCAATTCGAGCACGAACGCACAAATTGATTGTTGGAATTGGCTCAGACGCAGCTGAGAATGAAGTCAGGATAGAGTTTCAAAAGTTGTCTCCTTGGCAAGTTCGTCTCACATATCAGGGGGAAAACATGCAGGGGAAAGAAAACATGTTCGCCCGCAGTGAGATGTTTTTTTCAAAGCACTTCGTATTTTCTTCATACAGAGAGACAACTAAAAATTATTTTTTCACTTAAAGGTTATTACATTTTTTTATTGTACATATATAGGGGAGAGGTCTGTAGGTTGAGACACCTTTTGTTTTTAGTGTCCCATTTGGACATTCGCTTTTGAAACTTCACGCGTTAGGTACCGATCGAAAGCTTAGTCTTTTAGCTGTAAAATAAAGCAAAAAAAATTTTTTTTCCCTTGGGAAAACTAAAAAATAATTTTTTTTGAAAAGTGCCAAAAAATGACAATTTGAAAAAGAGGTCTGTAGGTTGAGACACTTTTTAAAGTCAATAATACTCACACAAAAAGTACTCCAAACTATAAGGAACTTTTTATTTATGTTAATTTAATCAATTTTAGCTCGTCCTAAATCATTTCCCATCCATTTTTTAAGAACTTAGACCAAATAACAACCAAAATCAAAAGGCTCTTTGAACATTCACTTTTCCCCTAATATCAAAGAAATGTACTAGGCAGAAAGCGACCTCTGTTGGCCTCAGACCTTTTTGTATGAAAAACGGGTGATTCAAATTACACGCTCAAAGTGTCTCAACTTACACAAAATGGGATGTTTCGGAAAAAAATTAATAACTTTTGTTCTGACTGTCACATTAAGCTGATTCTTTTTTTAATTAGTTAACAGTTAATATACTAATGTTTTAAATGTCTTACCAAGTTAATTTAAGGACGTTATTAATTTTAAATGGGATTTTGAAAAAAGTAGACAAAAACTTTTTTGGTGCAAAATGGTACACGACTCTCACAGCTTAAATCTGGCTAGAGCCTGGCTTATAATGTTTTCCCCAAAAGTTTTTTTCACTAAAAAGGTCTACAAAAAAAATAAAAAAAATTTTTTTAGTGGAAAAGTTTTGAGAAAATTGAGTGTCTCAACTTACAGACTGTCTCAACCTACAGACCTCTCCCCTACATAATAGAAAATGCTCATAATAACAAAAAATTTAATGTAATAAAAATATTATTTTAATTTGAATAAAATGTGTCAAATTTAGTATTACCTATTTATATTCACATGATATTTTGAAAAAATTCGGTAATATCATTATTCATATTGTGTAGACATTACAATTTTAAGTCACAAAATGTTGTCCCAAAACAAAAATGTCTCATACTTAGAGCTCTGATCAGCAATTTTGTTTTATTTTTCTCTCTGGTGTTTTTCTTCTTGCCCTTGTTTGCCGTCGAGTTGTAATTACTTGGCTCCGGAATGGTTGGCCCACAAAGGTAACCCAGTTAATTAAAATGAAAGCTTCAGGCCAGCGCATATTGTGGTTCCCCAATTGCCACGTATCCCCCGGATTTTATCCCTAAGGGCGGGCACACGTACATGCAGACACATTGGGTAATCCCTGCTTTAGAGGCTCTTATGGGGCATCAGTGTAAGCCAGGCCATCAAAAAGACTGGCATAATCCCGTTTAATTTCGTCATTATCCTGGCAGTTAATTAAGCGTCAGTCCATTCAAGATTTGCTGCATTTATGAGCTGCCAAACGAGCTGTCCATCAGCTGGGCTTATGATGCGTATACGCAATTTGCATACAGAATTCAATTGCGGCCACAAGTCCTCATTTAGGGGTCCTGCAATGGCTGTGCATTTCCAAGAGCGCAGACTTCAAATAAGGACACAATTCGCATAAATAATCCATGCATAATTCAGCACTCGAGCCGAAACGCAAAAAACAACTAAATCGCCAGCTGCGGAGTGGTGACCAAGGAAATATTGTATGCATGGTAAAAAAAAATTCCATGAATAATTCAGAGTCGCAAATAAATTGAGGAAAAATCATTTATCCAAGACCAGCGAACGATGAGAGCTGCGCAGCGATGGGAAAATGCAAATAAAAGTTAAGGAATTTCTCATCGATTCGAAATTCGAGTAACTCGAGGCAGATGTTTGGCTTTGTTTTCTTTTGTTTGGTATTTCTGACAGCATCAGAATGTGCTAATTATGAGTGTCTGATCCATATGGCGTAGATGAAAGATTCGCTTGTCTGGCGCAAAGTTATAAGAAGCCAATAAAGGCATTCATTCATTCTCGCCTCGACGCCCACCTGGGGACCCAAAAGAAACGCCTCGGCCACGACAAGCGATTAAACTCTAGGCCTGTGATAAGTTGAGTTTCGGTTCGTTGCGTGCTCGGTAAACATGATAATCAGAACCACAACAAGCCAGCACAGTGGGATACAGTCGGACAACGCTAACGACGACGGCAACGGCAGCCGGCAAAGCTGGAAACAGCGGGATATTCAGACAGCCCTATGTCGGCAATTTCGCATGAATGGCATGGGGATTGTGCTAGCCGGCAGTGACGTCATTCCTTACTATACAGGGCCAATAAGCCAAAGGGCAGAAAAAGACTTGAGGACAACAATGCAGAAAACACGGAACACAAAAAGAGCTTGGGTGGAAAAAAAAGTTTTCTACACACCGGGAAAAAAGTAAAAATAATTCGAATATAAGAAATTGATTTAAGTATTAGCATATTTATAAAGCATTGACTTCAGATCATCGAAAAATGTTCTTAAAATTATTATTTTACTTTTAAAAAATATTTCATATTTTATTAATATGTTATTTAATCTTTTCATTTTCTCATATTTTTTAAATAAGCAATAAAAAACAAAATATATTCTTTTAAATATTAAGAACTTTTAAGATCACTTTGAATCAATAAGGTTAGTAAAATACGTTTTTTTTCTGAATAACTTTTTCCCCAGTGCAGTCGCACGGAAATAGAATCGCTAAAATGTCAGGAAAAGTCAACAGGTGAGCATGGAGAAAGAGAGGCACGGTAAAAGTGCAAGGGAGACAGTGCTATTAGTGCCATATGACACTTGCTGACCCATGTCTAAATAATTGATGACTGACCTCGAGCTTGATTTATTGACTAAAGCTGTGATAGAAACAAGTCCGTGCACCATGTCAAATCCATAATTGATGTATGATGTTGCCTTTATATTACCCGATTAGGCGGGCCAATTTCCGATATTGTGCATGATATGGCCGAAAAAACAAAAACATTAATGACGCTGCGTTTATGAACCTGCGTTCGGCGTGGCAAAGGATATGCCTTCGTATACAATTTCATTATTTGGAGCCATAAAAAGGGCGGTAAAACATTCGGGTTTTATGCTTATCGAAAGCACGTGCTTCAGATGCGATCATTAGGCAAACGAAATGCCACTCGGCATTGTTAATGGTATTAAATGAGTACCGGCCACATGGCGTATGTGCGATAATTTGAGAAAGTTTTTCTTCCACCCAAGGTTAATGGCCACAAAACTTTTGCAGGCCCGAGTCCTTAAAAAGTTAGCTAATTGCAAAGCGCACAGTCAAGGCTCAAGTAAATTTATTTTGTAGCGTCGAAAGACTACAAGTATGCAACACTTTTATGGGCCAAACACTACTGGCCAAACTAAAAGGCCCACATAAAAAACTGAATGAAACATATGTGGGGTGTGTGGAAAAATAATGGCAGGCACATAAGCCGCAAAGTGCTCCCCCGGGAATAGTTTGCCACAAATATTCGGAATTACTTGGGTGCGGCATAGGGGGGAAAAAGCAAAAGCCGCACCTGAATGTGGGCGTTGGGAAATCTGCATTTTCCTTGCATTAAATTAATTGAAATTACATGCACAGGCATTCGGTTGCACAAGAGTCAGAGTCGGACAAATTGCTATTGCAACACTAGCGTCCTTGTCCCATGGGTTTTCTGCCTACCCCCTTCATTTTCCATTTCATTCATTAAAATAAAACAAACTGTATAAAATGTCCGAGAAAATACCGAAAACACAAAGCTTTTTTTCTCGGGGTGCGTAAAGCTCTAGCGTTTATCCCCCCAAACAGGCTCCTCACACTGGCATTTGCATTTAGTGACGCCATCGTTGGATGCTTTTCCAATTTTCGCGGCACCGGGGCGAAATAAAACCAGCTGCAGCATCGCAGGGCATTAATAATGCAAGAGGGTAAGACCGGCAGTCGGCCACCCACAAAACCGCCCGAGAGCACCCACAACCAGCCACCACCCCCTCACCTTCAACTCAATGCCAACCACCCACTCACCCACACACACGCTCTCGAATTCGTGGCATAAACTGTAAGTGTATGTGAGCCTTCGTTAACAATAACAAATGCCAAAGGAGAGCAAAAGTTACGGTTGGCCAAGAGAGGGGGCGGTGGAAGGTCGAAGGGGTTGGGGGTGGGGATGAAACCATAACGGCAGACAGCGAAACCGAATCCGAAGCAGTCTTCTAGGGGCACTGCCAGCGTGCAGTTCGCCAAGCTTCGCGCTGGAAAATCGGGAGAGAAAATCCAAGTCATCGCAATCATATTTCTGCAGAGCCTTAAAATATTTACCCCACATTTGTGTCGTGTTGAAATATCCGCGTTAAACCTAAATAGCAATCAAAGAGCAAAGCAAAAAGTGCTGTAATCATTTATTTATTTCAATTTACTCGTGCTCGCGAGTGTTGGCCATGTCATGCAACCGCTGCATCTGCGGCACGCCTCCAAGTCCTCGGAGAACTCGAAGAAGCCACAAGCCTCAGTGTTGTGCCACAGAATTAATAAAATATTCCCAGTCACAGGTAAAAGTGCGACCCCTGGGGATGAATGAAAAGATAAATATAAGGAGCTCGGCAAAAATCCTCCTTCATTCATTATACATACATATATATAGCTTGATATAATCCAACTGGCTGTCACTTTTCTGTGGAGAATCAAAGATAAATGCGAGAGAAAACTGAGAAATGGGTGCAAAATACACCAGAACTTGTCATGAATTTATGAGAATCTTTTCTACAAATAATCGCCCCCACTTTAAAAGATCAAATTAAGCGACATTTAATCAGTGGGAAAATAAACAAGTTTATGTGCCAAAATAGTTGACATTTATGTCGCACATTTTCACGCTATAAACTTTAACTTTAGATGGTGGTAAATTAAGTAACAAAAATAAGTAAATTTTAAAAATAAATTTTCCTAATATGCCTATAAACGTTTTTACGGTGTTCACTGCAGTTTATGACTGACATACATTTCCTATTTGTGAAATTTGTTGATATTATAGAGCTAGTAATGCAGTATAAGTAATTCAGGTTTTATAAGCACTCGAATGGGTTTTCTCTGCCTTTGATGACCGCATCGGCAAATGGAAAGAATCATTCCGCTTTCTTATTGCTCTTTGTAATTCCCATAATTAAGACAATCGCAAGAAAGAGCAGTGATGTCATGGGTGCCAATTGAATCGGCTGAAAACACTCAAATTTCCGTAAATACTGCACAGGGTATATTTCTTGCTTTTTGGTACCACTACTTATCAATCGGTCGCTGGATTTTTGTTAAATCGATTGTGGGAGTTGCGTGCCAGCCGAAATAACACTTACCCGTTTGCCACTTTTCACCTGATTCCAGCACGCATCCACTACGTTGACCAGGTGGAGCAGGAGGAGTTGGATCAGCAGCAGCACCAGCAGCAGCAGCCTGGCAGCAGCTTCACCATCAGCGGATCCACACCGCCCCTCCAAATCTCGCCACACGGCTCACCTAAGTTGCAGCAGACGCAGCAGCGCCTGGGCAAACACCTCAGTAAATCCGCATCGGAGTTGAATGGCCACGATTGCCATCTGAGCGAGTCGCCGCACATATCACCGAAGAGGGCCAAGAGTGCCGTGGCCCAGCAGTTGGTCGGCGGAGGCGGTTCGGGGGGCGTGGCCAGCGGCGTGGGCGTGCTGCAGAAGACGCACGGATTCTTCAACAATCTACGACACCGCTGGAGTCGCGCGAAGAGCAAAGATCGTCTGGGTCGCAAGTCCCCAAGCGATTTTCTCGAGGAAAGCACCGATTATGCGGCGGACTACAGTTCGGAGAGCAGTTCCGTAACCCAGAGTCCCCGCCATCGAAGCACCACCATCGGCGGTTCGCCACTGGCCCGCGAATTTCGGGCCACCGCCAAAATGGCACAGGTTATCCAGCGATTCGGGGGCTCCATGGAGGGCCGGATAGACGAGCATCCGGAGAACGGTTCGGCGGGCTGCAGTCCTCCGGAACTGACCACCCAACAGCAGCTGGAGGCCCTGCAGGTTGGTGGTGCCGCACTCGGCATTTGGCTTGTTTATACGCTTTGCTTATGTTACCAATTGGCTTTGTTTGATTTTATCGCGTTTTTCTTTACTCAATGGCACTAACTTAAATTTTGTGGAATTTTCGCTTTTCCAACGACTTGCTGCGCTGCACAACTCTAACTAACTGAAAAATGAATATGAAAATGCAACTGCAATCCAATCGATCAGGCCGACGAGCAACGTCGCAAGCGCGAAGCCCAATTACGTCAATTCGTCTTCTTTCAGCTGCGCGTGCATCTCAAGTCCGGCAGCGACCTGGTGGCCATGGACAAGAATGGTAAGCAGGCCCCCAGAATTACCCACCCGTTCCCCCTCCCATTTCTATTGTCCAACCCACACCTTTGTGCTTAATCAGGCACTGGTCACAATGCACTGGCACTGCAGCGAGAAATTTCTTTTGTCTTTCGTCCCTGCCGCAGGACTGAGTGATCCTTATGTCAAGTTCAAGGTCGGCGGCCGCCTCCTCCACAAGTCGCGCACCATTCACCGGGACCTGAATCCCGTGTGGGACGAGGTCTTCATCGTGCCCATCGAGGACCCCTTCCAGCCGATTATCGTGAAGGTGAGTGCCGAGAAAGTTCTGGGGTGGCCTGTCAGGCACTCCAGAAAAGTTGGTTCTGGTTTTACACGGAGAGAAAGTGGTAATCAATTATTAATTTTCAAGAATTTATTAATTTATTTTGCTGATTCAATAACATACAAATTTTACAGAAGTAGTGTCTTTTATAACGAACTAAAATATTAAACAGTCTTGGAAGACCTTTTACTTAAATGGTCTTCATAAAAATACCTTTCTTTAACATCACACAAATTATTTAGCTAGTAAAAAGAAATATAGTAACAATATATTTGGTACAAAATATTACGTATTTCCAGTAAATAGTTGGAAAGCTCATATCGATATTTTAAATACTGTTTTTTCTTTGCTTTGAAATATGTTCCCCGAACTTACAGTGTCCAAATAAAAGGGAAAAGCTAACTTTTAATACAAACATAAAAGTCAATGGGGTTTTCTTATGCTTAGTTGTGCCTCCGCAAATAGTTTTCCCCAGATAAGGACAGCAATATGCGATAAGAAATGGGCCGCGGGTCTTCAGCAGGGTAGCGTGGCCGAGCGGTCTAAGGCGCTGGTTTAAGGCACCAGTCTCCTCGGAGGCGTGGGTTCGAATCCCACCGCTGCCATTGAGAAAGATTTTTTTATTAAATAATTAAATCTATATTTTTCGATGTGTATGAACCCACAATCGCGTGGAAGCCAGTCGAATTCCCAAAGCACCTATCTCAATCTAATCGAAGTGAACTTCCGTTTCGTCTCTTTGGATGCCCCCCCTCTCTGCCAGGTTTTCGACTATGACTGGGGACTGCAGGACGACTTTATGGGCTCGGCCAAGCTGGACTTAACCCAATTGGAATTGGGCAAGGCCGAGGACATCCACCTGCAGCTGTGCGACTCGGGCGGAAATGGAGGAAGCGGCTTGGGGGAGATACTCATCAATTTGACGCTCTGGCCGCGCAGTCAGGAGGACAAGGAAATGGTGAGTGGCATCCATAAATCGATTCACCCTATTGTTCGGGGTCTTTAGCGGGTGGGGGTTCTTTGGGAAACTCGGAAGCAGCTCGTCTGGGCCATCAATCAGCCCTTCACCGGCGGTTTTCCACGGTGAGCTAAGCGATTGTCTCGCTACCTTTTGTCTGGCATTCTTAATTGCCTCTCGACAGGCTCCAGACCACCCACCCCCACCTTTGACCCAGCTTTTATTTATAAGCGCTCGCTTACCCACTAACTTTATTTATGGCCCAGCTGAATTGGTTACACACGGCCTGGGGTTTTACTTTCGGATAGACACACACAAAGCTTTAACTTTGATCCAGTGCCTGCCCGCAACTAACATGAACTAAAGCCGAACAATTGAGCTGTTTTTTGGACTATGGCAAACTCATCATGACTAGCTTTCAAGCGGTGAGAGCAACGATCGGTGGGGCTCAACAAATAAAAGCTTGAGCTGTCATTGGCATTGCATGTTATCTCTCAACGAAGTCGCTCCAAAGCAAACAATTGAAAAACGGGGAAATACAGTGGTAAAACGGGTATAGGGGAAAGTCGAAGTTGGGATACCCTATTTTTTAAAAATTGAAAAATTTAAGAGTAAAAAATGCTACTAAACTATAAAAGAATACTAATATTATTATGACTTTTGAATAACATTTTTTGTAAATTCTTAAAAGTAGTAAACAATTTTTGACACTTTTCAAATATTTAAAAAAAAACTCCAAATTAATTTCCTGTATATATTTTCTGTAATATTGATGTCTAGAAAACACTTTCGAAACTTTTTTCAAAAGGAATGTTAATAGTAGTATAGTAAGTAATGGTTAGTAATAGCTAATACCCTGAATTAACAGGCTGATGTAAAGATGCGTCATCTAACTCCGTATATAGTAAATTCCATTTTTACATGCACATATGTGCACTTTGTCTAGTCCGGCATACCTTGTTATTTCGTAATTAGTGTATTTTTTTCCCGCAATGGCAAGACCTCTGTCCCAAGTGGCTTTAGTCACTGTTCGCGCGTCGAAAGCGAAGTACGGCTTAGAGTTTTGTTTGTCGGCCTGTATAATTCGGGCTCTCGATCGGCGATCATGTTGGGCAACAGTTGGCCCGGCTGCAAGCGGGCTCCTCGCATGGTGCTCAAACATGTGAGGCGGCAGCACGAGGAGCTGCGGGAGCAACTGGAGCAGGGATGCGACGAACTGATGGAGGTGGCCGAGTCTCATTTTCCGGATTGCACTCTATTGCAGCACTTTCAGCGCAACTCGAAGCTGGCCGAGTCATCGAAGCGATTGAAGTCGCAGATCTGGAGCTCAGTGGTCACCATTTTGCTGGTCAAAGCCAAGGATTTGCCGCTGGCCGAAGATGGCAGCAAGCTGAATGACACGCACTTTAAGTTCAGGTTAGATAAAAGTTTAAAAAATGTCAAAATCATTATAATCAGCAATATTTAATTTAGATTGGGCAATGAGAAATACAAGAGCAAGTCTTCCTGGACGGAGCGCTGGCTGGAACAGTTCGATCTGCATCTATTCGATGAAGATCAAAATCTGGAATTGGCTCTTTGGAATCGAAATACCCTGTATGGCAAGGCCATTATAGACCTGAGTGTTTTCCAGCGCGAGAACACGCATGGCATCTGGAAACCCCTTGAAGATTGTCCTGGCGAAGTTCACCTAATGCTCACGATTAGTGGAACCACAGCCTTGGAGACGATCAGCGATCTGAAGGCCTTCAAGGAAGATCCGCGAGAGGCTCAGTTGCTAAGGGATCGATATCGATTCCTAAGATGCCTCCAAAACCTGCGCGATGTGGGTCACCTGACGGTGAAAGTTTTCGGAGCAACTGGACTGGCTGCAGCGGATATTGGTGGAAAATCCGATCCCTTTTGTGTGTTGGAACTGGGAAACGCCCGACTGCAAACCCAAACGGAGTACAAAACACTCACTCCCAATTGGAACAAGATATTTACTTTGTAAGTAGGGGTTTAACTTTTCGAAACTTCCATCTAGCTAACCAGTTTGTTTAATCCCTATTCTAGCAACGTTAAGGACATCACACAGGTTCTGGAGATCACCGTCTTCGATGAGGATCGAGATCATCGCGTCGAGTTCCTGGGCAAACTAGTCATCCCCCTGCTGAGGATCAAGAGTGGAGTCAAACGATGGTACACGCTGAAGGACAAGAACCTCTGTGTTCGGGCCAAGGGAAACTCTCCGCAAATTCAGCTGGAACTGACGGTGGTTTGGAGTGAGATTCGAGCCGTTTGTCGAGCCCTGCAGCCCAAGGAGGAGAAACTCATCCAGCAGGAGGCCAAATTCAAGCGACAACTCTTCCTGCGCAATGTCAATAGACTCAAGGAGATTATCATGGATATCCTAGAAGCAGCGCGCTATGTCCAGTGAGTTTGGGGATATTTTATAAACACTAAACAAAATGTTATAGTTTTATTCCTTTTATAGGAGCTGCTTTGAGTGGGAATCACCTGTGCGTTCCAGCATAGCTTTTGTCTTTTGGATTGTGGCCTGCGTTTATGGCGATCTAGAGACCGTACCCCTAGTCCTACTACTCATCATACTTAAGTGAGTAATTTAAAACACTGAGAATGGATTCCAATAATTGAATTACTCATATTTGGTATTCCAGAAAGTGGCTCTATCGCCTTATAACGGGTACCACAGATGCCGCTGCGCACTACGACTACGAGTACGATGAAGATGATGACGATGACAAGGAGAAGGAGGAGAAGAAGTCCATCAAGGAAAGATTACAGGCCATCCAAGAAGTCTCCCAGACCGTGCAGAATACTATAGGCTATCTGGCTTCATTAGGCGAAAGCACTATCAAGTGAGAGTTCTTTTGAATGGGTTGCATCACAGTTTATTTTAATTTCTTGTTATCCATAGCACATTCAACTTTTCCGTCCCCGAACTGACCTGGCTGGCTGTGGTCCTACTGTTGGGCGCCATTCTGGTCCTGCATTTCGTCCCCCTCCGCTGGCTGCTCCTCTTCTGGGGCCTAATGAAGTTCTCCAGACGTTTGCTGAGACCCAATACCATTCCCAACAACGAGCTATTGGACTTTCTTTCACGAGTGCCAGATAACGAGGAGATTGTAAGTGTTTTTTGAAATTTTATTTATATTGAGTAAAATGATTCTATAAGTATTTGAAACTGAAGATCTAAGATAGAATTAAATTTTCAACTCTAAGATGTAAGAGATTAATATCTAAACACATAAACAACACACAAATAATTCTTAAGGCTAAGCAAATTTAAAATTTCTAGAGATCCCAAGTTTTATAATTCCTTTTCATAATAATTTTTCTGTTTTCCCTTGATCTCAACATAAGCTATTTGAAATTCCTTGAACATTTTTATTTAAGTATCAAACTTAATTTGACTTTCTGTGTGCGATTAACTAGAACTTATGATTTCCTTTTGCAGAATCAATATCGAGAACTGCCACCATCGGCGCCCACCGACCAGATGCGCAACAACCCGAAGAAGAAGTTGAAGGGATCATAGTCCATAACCAGCGCTGATGCGGCAATGGCGTCCCTTTCGCCGCCGCAGTCCAGCGCACTGGGAGGAGCGGGTGGAGGGGGAAGCGGATCCGGCGGAAGGCAGCAGCTGATGCAGCGCTTCCGGGCCAACACCAGCCAGCTGAAGCACAAGTTTGGCCAGGCCAAGAGCCTCAGTCTGAGCCATAGCGAATTCAATTAGACACCAAAGTTAGTTAGCTAGTTAAGAATCGAGGGTACGAGGGCGGCACCAAGTAAACTAGTTCCACCCATAGACGGCAACATCAATTCAACTTGACTCAATTATGCAGCACAAAGTTTGCTTCACTTATTTTCCTAGAACTATATATATATACACAGAAAAGAATATGAATATGATTGTAAATGTATGCAAAACTCCAAACTATTTACACAAACCGATTCTGTACATACACGAAGATAGCGGATATTAGGACTCTATTGAAACATTGCATGTACCTAAGGTAACCTCTCTCAAAGATCTATTCGAATATTTACCAAAACTCTAATTGCTAACTACCAGATTCCTTTTGCGCGAATCCAAATGCGATTAATTATTTATTGTGTATTTCAATTTGTGATATTTTCAAAGAATTTTGCAACTAGGCTTACTACTTATGTGACTTAACCCACGGAAGCTCCGTACCGCATTGAAGTTTCCCTCAACTCCATTTACAATTTACCATTCGATTGCACTCGACTCGTTTAAGGACGCTTCTTCATTATATACCTTTACATATATACCTAAATAAGCCTAAGCCTAAGCCTAACCAAGTTTATTGTAATTATTTCATTCGAAAAGATTGTTCAAAACATTTTCTAAAATTTATATTTATTAACTATGTCTAGGATAATCAGCTCGAAAAGGCCCCGGCCCAGCCATACATATTAATATAAATTAAATGCTACTGTAACCCACTCCGATTGATCGATTTGATACATTTTAGATAGTTCAACTATTTTATACCCCACAACAAGAGCAACAACAAAGTTTTTATATACATACCAAACTCAATTAATTAATTAGCACCTAAGTTAAGTTTGTTATTTTTCAATATATATATATGATGGCAAAAATAATAAAAATATTTTTGGATTTCGCTCAAAACATTGAAACTATTTTTTCACCCACTTCGTGATGGCAGATCTTCTAATGTTAACATTGTACCATTCGCTTTTCAAACTATTCTTTTGCGATATTTTGTTGAGCAACCCCAAAATGTAAGCTGACACAGTTTAGCACACTTTTAGCACATTTATACCTTTTCCCCCTTCTGATCATTTTTTTCGACTTTTTACTCCTTATTGTTATTAGTGAACCTTAGTAAGGTACAAAAATAAAGAAACGAAAAATAGATAAATCCAGGGACTGGTAATAAATAACTAAAATTATCTAAATATCCCATTTTTAGCAGGATAAGTGTCCTAGTTGATCTTTGTTGGTCCTAATCAATTATATTTACTTGTTTTACTTAAAATTAAACAATTATAAGATAATGCGGTTGAAAACATAGAGCTGGGACCTGATACAGTGACCCACATTGCATGGCATTTCAGCAGATCCTATTTTCGAGTCCTTTCAAATTTTCTAAAAATCCGACCACATATTTTTGTAGCCAATTTAAATACAAAAAAATGAGGCATATTTCATTCGATCGGTTAACAACTTCCTGCGACACGCATAAAGTTCTAAATAAAAACATTACAGCTTTAACTTAAAGCACGATTTGCATACAAAATTTCATAGAATCGAAACTTGAATCTTAATATCAAAGTGTTGCTATGCCTTTGCCTACGAAGTTGTTAACCGATCTTAATGAAATATGCCTCATTTTTTTTGTATTTAAATTGGCTACAAAAATATGTGGTCCGGAGATTTTTAGAAAATTTGAAAGGACTCGAAAATCAGGATAAATGCCATTCAATGTGGAGTCACTGTATCAGGTCCCAGCTCTATGTTTTCAACCGCATTATCTTATAATTGTTTAATTTTAAGTAAAACAAGTAAATATAATTGATTAGGACCAACAAAGATCAACTAGGACACTTATCCTGCCTAAAAATGGGATATTTAGATAATTTTAGTTATTTATGTACCAGAGTCCCTGCGATTTATCTAGATTTTTCGTTTCTTTATTTTTGTACCTTACTAAGGTTCACTAATAACAATAAGGAGTAAAAAGTCGAAAAAAAATGATCAGAAGGGTGAAAAGGTATAAATGTGCTAAAATGTGCTAAACTCGTGTCCAGCTCATTTTGGAGGTTGCACAACTTAAAATATCGCCAAAGAAGAACGGTAAAAGCGAATGGGACAATATTAACAGTGGAAGTTGCTCTATTTCCAGCACGAAGGTGGGTGAAAACAGAAAGTCGAAATCTCTAACGAGAAAGGAGATATGGCGAAAATATGATGGGCGAGCAAAGTGTGCTAAACTCGTGACCACCACTGTATATATATGATGGCAAAAATAATAAAAATATTTTTGGATTTCGCTCAAGACATGAAACTATTATTACCCTTGGTGACAGTTCTTCTAAAACTGTACAGTGCGTTTCAAACTAATGTTTTTCAATTTTTGCAGCCAAAAGCTGTAAGCTCTTTTGGTTTTAATTTATTTTTTATCATTGTTTGTTTTGCTCAGCCCTCTGTTTACTTGTCAATTAAGCTTTCAAATACTAGAAATCACATTTAGATAAAAACTGAAGTGTCGAACTGGACACTAAAAATACATTTCGCTTTTAGATACTGCTTATCAGCGGTTCTGCTGCCTCTCTTTTTTTTAACAATTATGCAATGAACGCGAATTTTTCCATACGATGCGATAAACAAAAATTTATTATGAAAAATATAATCAGTAGCGTTACAAGTTAAGCGGTTGCTAATAACTAAAGTTCTCTTTTTCCATTAGATCGTAAACATCTGAGAAATCACGGCCCCCAAGTCCCTGAGAAATTAAGGAACTGTAGATCTTGTGGGTCAGCAAGCCCATAGGAATAGGGGAATTCACAGAGCGAGCTACGTTGGCAACCAGTTCCAGATCCTTATTAATCAATGATATGGGAACCTTGTTGGTTTGAGTTGACGGAGAAATTCCTGGTACTGGATTATAAAACTCTGAGGTCCAGCAGCGCCCAGTTGAGGAGTTGAGGATTTCGGCAAAGACCTTGGGACTCAGACCTTGACGAACAGCAAGATTCATGGTCTCTGATACGCCCAGCATGGATATCGCCAGCATCATGTTGTTGCACAGTTTGGCAGCCTGACCCATTCCATGGGATCCGCAGTAGATGATTCGTTTTCCCATGCACTGGAGTATCCTTTCAACTGTCTTGAAATCGTTTTCAAATCCACCCACCATAAAGGTTAGTGTGGCTTGCTCTGCTCCAGGTACTCCGCCAGAAACTGGAGCATCTAAGAACCTTCCTCCTTTAGAACTAATTCTCTTTTGCAGTGACTTGGCCAATTTCGGGGAAATTGTGGAGGAGTCTATGAAAATTGTCGGCTTGTTGAACCCGTAAGAAATTATTTCATCATAGGAAGCATCCACTACGGAATTATTTGGCAGCATGCTGAAGACGAACTCCGAGTTTTTGGCGAGATCAGAAGTTTTTGAATAAACTACAGCTCCCTTGGTCTCAAGATCTTTGCAGGCCTTGTTTGATATATCGTAAACATGTAGTTTATGTCCGAAGTTTATTAGATTACTGGCCATGTGCCCACCCATATTACCAAGTCCTATAAAACCAATTTGGCTGGCGTTTCTTTGGAGCATGATTTTCTTCAAGACTAGAAGATTACGGGGCAATAAGGGTCTGAGTGGCATATTTAGCTAAGATTCAACTTCGACTACGGAAAATTCGAAATAGATCTGCAAAAGTATAAATACAAATAGATGTTTTATTTCACCAGATTGTTTTATTAAAGGCCCGGAAAAGGTTTAATTATACCCGTTACTCGTAGAGTAAAAGGGTATACTAGATTCGTGCAAAAGTATGTAACAGCTAGAAGGAAGCGTTTCCGACCCCATAAAGTATATATATTCTTGATCAGGGTCACTAGCCGAGTCGATCTAGCCATGTCCGTCTGTCCGTCTGTCTGTCTGTCTGTCTGTCTGTCTGTCTGTCCGTCTGTCCGTCTGTCCGTCTGTATGAACGCTGAGATCTCAGAAACTACAAAAGCTAGAAGGTTGAGATTTCCCACACATATTCTTTGGCTTCCTACGCAGCGCAAGTTTATTTTAGCCGAGCGCCACGCCCCCTCTAACGCCCACTAACGATTTTAAAATGGGTCCTGCGCCCACATCTTTAAAGATTTCCGAGAAGTATAAATGTCATTTTGTTGTGTATATTTACCTATCGAAATGTAGAAGACATTTTTAAATCGGACCATTCATTAAAAAATTATTCGCAATAAAAAAATTGTATGTATCTATCTCCCTCGCACTCCCTTTAGCTGAGTTACGATTATTAGTCGGGACACCAACCCGACACAGCGTTCGCACTCCCTTTAGCTGAGTGACGGGTATTAGATAGTCGGGACAACAACCCGACTATAGCGTTCTCTCTTGTTTTTAATTTACACCTACCAAAGTCACAGAGTCAGAGCAAATGAACTCAGCACCTTTAATAATAGCAACAACTTGTGAGAAATATAAAATAAATATTTTCTTTTAGCACCTGTTTGCTAATTTTCGAGTGTGCTCTAATTAAAATTGAGAGATAAAAATGCTAGAAAATAATCTAATAACACTATGCAGCATCAAAAATTTACCTCGATGGATGCTATATTTTTGGATTCGTTACGAATTCCCAAGTTAAACAGCATTATCCAAAAAGTTCCCCGACGCAAGGATTCTTAGCAAAGGACCCAAAGTTCGAAAAATGGTGAAATTGGCCTACTTTCCAGTGCTCCAGAGGCAAATGGATGCAAGGTTTGATTCGATGTTAAAGTTTTTAAAAGATACACTCTTTATCTTTCAAACGCCCTACTTAGAATAATTTTAGGATTTTTTAAGGGAGAAATAAATTTCAAAAAACATAGTCAAAAACTAAAAAACTTACAGCTGCGGTAAAAATAGTAGTAGTGTTGCCGCCCTGTGTTTTAAATGTTTTTTGTTGTCACTTTTCTTATCCAATTAGTCTATTAGTACAATTATAATAAATACAATATTACCAGGAGAAGATAAATTACAACAACAAACCTTTAAAAACACAGGGCGGCAACCACTATTTGACCGCAGCTATATTTGTTTTTTGACTATGTTTTCTAAAATTTGTTTCCCTTTAATAAAAATCCTAAAATTATTCTAAGTATGGGGTTGAAAGATAAAGGGTGTATCCTTTAAAAAACTTTAACATCGAATCAAACAATGCATCCGTTTGTCTCTGAGACTCTGGAAAAATTTCCCAGCATTCTTCGAACTTTGAGGTCCTTTCTAAGAGTCGGGGAACTTAAAACGCAGTTTAACTTGGGAATTCGTAACGAATCCAAAAATATAGCATCCATCGAGGTAAATTGAAAAAGCACTAAAAATGCTGCACAGTGTAATACGAGCTCTTTATGCTGATAAAGCGCTTCTCAAACTGTGAGCTTTAATGCTACGCACCTGAAATAATTCAGCAAAATATTCCATCGGTGCCTCTCAATCGGTGAGCTTTTGATAACCACGCCATAATTTCCATTCCGACTTTTCATTGTTGTTTGTTTTGCTCGCTTCTCTGTTTACCTGTGGAGCTTTATGAATTAAAAACGATCGCCATGTGGAATCTTTAATCTAATGCCACGAGTGCAGGAGATAAGCGACAATCGTAAATTGTATTTGCAGGGGTCTCAAAAGTGGCAATAAAACAAAAGCCCAACACAGATGTTTGAAGACGCTTATCAGCTCTCGGAGTTCCACTCGTCAGACGATCCCCAGCCAAACCAAATCAGACCAGCCCGCGATTACGTAACACCATGGAACTTTTTCACTCAATACGATAAACGAATACGAATAGGTCTTTAATTTACGCACATATTTGCATAGAACATGGTAATTGCACAGTCGAAATTGCAAAAATGGGCAGGCTACCCAAACTTAGTGCTATATATATAAATGCAGGTCTGGTGAGGATTGGGCTACCCACTATCTAAGTAAGCCAGTAATTTAAACGCTGAACTTCTCCTTCTTCATCAGGTCGTACACCACGGAGAAGTCCTTGTTGCCCAGACCCTTCTCGCACAGCGACTGGTAGACCTTGTGGGCCAGCGATCCCAGCGGGATGGGTGATCCGGAGGTGGTGGCCACACCGGAGGCCAGGCCGAGATCCTTGGTGATCAGGGCGGTGGAGAAGCCGCCGGCATATTCCCGGTTGGCGGGGGCAGTGGGGCAGACGCCGGGCACCGGGTTGTAGATCTCGGAGGCCCAGCAGCGGCCGGTGGAGGAGTTGATGATCTCGGCGAAGACGTTGGCATCGAGGCCCTGGCGGACAGCCAGATTCATGGCCTCCGAAACGCCGATCATCGAGATGGCCAGCATCATGTTGTTGCACAGCTTGGCGGCCTGGCCCATGCCATAGACGCCGCAGTGGGTGATCCGCTTGCCCATGCACTCCAGCACGGCCTTGACGGCCTGGTACTCGGCCTCAGTGCCGCCCACCATGAAGGTGAGGGTGGCCTGCTCGGCTCCGGGAACTCCGCCCGAGACGGGGGCATCGATGAAGCGGGCGCCCTTGCCGCTGATCTTCTTCTGCAGCGACTTCACCAGATCCGGCGAGATCGTCGAGGAGTCAATGAAGATGGTGTCCTTGCTGACGCCATCGGCGGTCATCTCGTCGTAGGAGGCCTCCACAATGGCGTTGTTCGGCAGCATGGTGATCACAAAGTCCGAGTTCTTGGCCAACTCCGAGGTCTTGGCGTAGACGGTGGCTCCCTTGGCGGCCAGACCGTCGCAGGCGGGCTTCGAGATGTCGAACACATGCAGCTTGTGGCCGGCCTTGATCAGGTTGCTGGCCATGTTGGCGCCCATGTTGCCCAGACCCACGAAACCAATGTTCTTGCTGCCGCCCTGGGTGGACATGGCGCGCACCAGAGTCTGGCTCCAGGCATTCAGCATGGCGGGGGACATCACACGGAGCGACATGGCTGCGGGAAAAATACTACATATATTGTTATGTAATCACAGACTAGCTAGTTGCCTAGCCACTATATCTCACCCACCTGTTGATCTAGAAGTCTGGGGAAATAAGGCTGAAACTGCGAAAGTTCTACGCGATCGGACCGCTGTCAGAAGCACACTGCTCCCGGCCGCTGGCAAGTCACGTAATTTCACTTCGTTCCAGCGGCTGCTAAAGAGTTGTCGAGTCAACTAAAAATGCTATTTTGTAATTAAAGTTAATAATAGAAATTTTAAAAAGATTTTGCTTCTTTTAATTTCAAATTTAAATCTATCATTACATTTAAAATTGAAACTAAACTTAAGAGGCCATTGGTCTAGGAAAATATTGAATTTGTTTTGATTCAAAATGTACTTTTCTTGATAAGGCTTAGTACTCAACCCAACAAAAAGTCGTCCAAAACAAAAAACTTCATATGAAAAATAATGTCAAAAAATTTTGTTTCATATGAAGTATTTAGTTTGACACTTAATTTAATTTTTTAATACTAACCCTAAAACAAAAATAATATTTAGTTTTCAAAAAGTTTTTGAAAATGCGTCACTTTAGACTTTGTACCGACACTTTAAGATTTAAGGATTAAAATCATGCAAATATTTTGTATTCACTTTTATTTTCAAAATTATCTATAAAGATCTTTAATTTTAAGATATGTAAGACCCTAAAGTTTTTAATAGAAAAAAAAACTTTTATTTTCTACGGCTTCCTTTAAATTTACTTATATGGTATGTACATACATACGTCGGCCTTCTGGCGGCCCGACAACTCTGCCAGATCAAAACAAGTTCTCTATAGCTCAGCTCCCTCTCTTTGGCTCCACCATATGGTTAGCATATATAAAATATACTATACGGGTTTCCAGTGACGCCGGCAAAAGCTCTATTGCTCTATTCTTTCCAATGCTTTTGCTTGATTTATGTTCTAATTGGAAGACACGTGCCGTTGTTTCGTTTATCAGCTTGGGCAAAACTTTCGATTTCATTTACTTTCCCTGACCTTCAGCGTTTCAGGGGGCCTGTGTGTGTAGGGAGATCTAGAAATTGTGGGTGTGTCAGCTTGTCGTCGAGTGCCAAGACCAGAGGCTCCAAAACTGTAAGCTTTCACGCTGATGGTTCGATTTGAATTGGAGTGTTTCTAAAATCAAATAAATTTAATTTAATTCTTTAATTTTGCCATCAAACTTGGTCGGTTCAACGTCTTTGGCTTTGTCTAAATAAATGAATGGATGACAACTTGCGAATCGCTTAAATTGCGTGAAATATCGTGCATAACTAAATTCGCACGCGCAATTTCCAAACTGATGTTTCATTTTACACTCACTTGAGGGGTACATTTAGCTTCATAAAAAAATATTTTACGAATATTCAAATACTTTGTTTAATCGAAAGAAAAATGTTTATGGTTGAACCTTGGAGAATAGTTGCTTTTAAGAAATATCAAAAATTATCCAATATTATTAGTACTTGAAGCGGTAAATAAAATGTATAAAAACAATATAAATATTATACGAGCTTCAAATATTTTACCTTTAAATATACATAAATAGTTTTATTTTTTATAATCTTCATTTCTGATATAGTCTTCCGATTAAGACATTATTTTTAGGGCATTTGAACTT